ATTATGGTGAGTTTATAATTTATGAACGACATCTGAATGGTACTAGTCACCTTGAGAATATCCACTTACTAACAAAGAGTAAATAAAATTTATAAAAGAAATATGAGAAATTATAATTATAATTGACAGTTAATGGTTCCCGGTTCAGAATTTGATTTAGGGTTTTCATTTCCAACTAACATTAATTATAATGCCAAAAACTCTATTTAACCAAATGAATTAGTGAATTTCGTTCCAAAATCTGAGACATGTTTTCTTATAAGTGATTAGTTCATTCATAAATAATAGTTTAGTCAAAATTATAGGTAATATGTATTTTTATAGTCCAGTAGTTTGAACATACTTTGTTTTCTGTTAAACTGACGATAATTTTGTATTGAATAAAGTTTAAGTTTAAACGTGACAGTGAGTTACATTGATGAATAATGAATAAAAAAGTTGTGAAAATAGTTACTGAAATTCAGCAAAGATTTATTGTGGAATGTAGCCCCTAAGTGTCCTGAGACAGCTGAGAGTGAAGAGAGTTCACCCTCCCTCACGAAATTCTCTCACATGGTCACGCCTACATAGCCTCTGCCAGGGAAGTTCTACTCATTGACTCCTCACACCAAGAGTGTTGTTTACGAAAGTGAAAGGACGAAAAGCGATTGTCTGACGGTTTAACCCGGATTGGTGGACACGGAAAGTTCACCTACGAGAGTTGGAAAATCCTGATCCCAAACCAATGATGCACATGAGCTACAGGATCCTGAGGGAAAGTTGGCATTGGTCAACAGCTACCATGCGACTGCATCTCCTTACGATGTTCTACTGCCTTGTGGATCAAATCTTTCGGTCAAAGGCTTTGGATGTGGCCTCCTAAGAAAATCACCTGATTCGGTTTGGGCACCTGGGCAGTATGAGTTTAGGGAACAGTAATCAATAGACTGGGAAAACCTTAAGAATGGTAAATCGTATAATAATAATCTATGGGTCAAACTAAAGCTTATAATAAGAGGAACATGAATATGAATAGTTGAGTTACTTAGCAATTACACAATAAGAAACATACGTATAGTATTATCCCATAAATAGATCCCAACAGTTACTATTCATTTTTCTCGTCAGGGTATATGAATTTCGTAAAACAATTTGTCTTTTATACTTAAGGGATACAGTTCATAATTTGATATGGCTCAAATTTCATTGATGTCTCTTCGTATAGAATTTCAAAATAAAAGAGAAGAATCTTCACATTAACGTTTAAAGATCAATTAGCTTTATATAATACTTCTGTTATTACTGTGATGTATCCTACTTATGTTGACAGATATAAGTAGTATAAAACACCAATCACAATTGATAACAGAAGATTGAAATGATCCAATCGAACAGAACAAGAATGTAAACAGAAGTTTGAGACAATTGATAAAGGATTTGCAAATGAAGTAATTAAAGTATAATTTTAACATTTTATGAAATCACCTGATTTCTCGTTTAGTACATTACTACTACTCATGTAATATGAGTTACTTATATTCACATAAGTAGTATGTAACAATGGTCAGGTATAACATGTATTACAATGGAAGATCGATAAGGAACAGACGGAAATGAAAGACGATTTGTATCAAAATGCATGAAGAATAATAAACGGAGACAATGAACTAATATTTGAAGAAGGAAGAGTCAAATTTGAGACAATCGCATATTTGTTTGTAAATCAACCATTTATTATATGGTTATCATATTTTACTGAGATATTCCATGATTGTGTACCTAAATACATTTGTTTATCCACACTCATCTTCTTGGTCATTACAGTATTACTGAGAATTCCTTTATCCAATTAAAACAGTCTTTAATGTTTCCTAAATTTCAATAGATCCTATAAAATGGGTTAATTTCATGAATTCAACCATTTTCAAGTCAAACCAAATTGAATAAGTTCCTTAAACAGAAATTAAGTATATATCCATTAGTGAATAACTTTGAGATAGGTTCTTGAAGCTATTCTGTAATTTAGTGCCCTAGTAGATTTAATTGTCCATACACGTGTTCTTGTTCACTACAACCATACTACTACTACCACTACTACTACTAGTACTATAATAGTTACCTTACTCACTTACTTACGCCTGTTACTCTCAATGGAGCATAGGTCACCAACCAGCATTCTCTAACCCACTCTGCCTATACCTTCCTTTCTAGTTCTATTCACTTGTTGTTCATTCTTCTCATGTCTGTCTCCATTTCTTAAAGTAATGTGTTCTTTGGTCTTCCTCTTCTCTTCTGGACTTCAGGATTCTATATGAGAGCTTGTCTTGTGACGCAGTTGGGTGATTTCCTCAATGTGTGTCCTATTTACTTGTAGCTCTTCTTCATGAATCATTCCTCCACTGAAATCTGGTTTGTTCTCTCCCACAGTAGGTTGTTGCTGATAGTGTCCGTCCAACGGATCCGAAGTATCTTGCATATACAACTGTTAATAAACATTTGTGTCTTCTGGATGATTGCTTTCGTAGTTCTCCACTTCTCCGCCCCATACAGTAGAACTGTCTTGACATCTGTATTGAAAATTCTGATCTTGGTGTTGGTTGACGGATAGTTGTTTTGAGTTCCAGATGTTCTTCAGTTGTAAATATGCTGCTCTTGTTTTGCCGATCTGCGCCCTCACATCTGCATCAGATCCACCGTGTTCATCGATGATGCTGCCCAGATATGTAAAGGTTTACACATCCTCCAAAGCTTCTCTGTTAAGTGTAATTCGATTGGTGCATGTTGTGTTGTATCGGAGAATCTTGCTTTTTCTTTCGTTCATATTGAGACCTACTGCTGCTGAAGCTACTGTTACACTGGTTGACTTCTCCTGCATTTGTTGTCGCGTGTGTGATAAAAGAGCCTATAGCTCCTACGGAGGCTACTGCCGGTTCCAATCCCGGATAAAGAGGGAGGTTTGGGCATAGGATTAACGACTCGATCCCGTATAAAACCAACTCGCTAAATAAAAACGCTAACCAGAAAAAAAATGATTCAAACCATAATAGTTACCACAGAAACATAATGTGATGTATATTCACATCTATTCAAACAGATGGCAACAAGATGACCTTTTTGTGGTAACTATCTAAATAAGTAGAACTGAATTCCTGATTTCTCATTGTCCATACTCTAAAATAAAAGAGTCAATATATACATCAAATAAATAACGATTTGTTTGTATGTAAATATCTATTTGGATATCATGAAAGTATCTATATTGAATGAGCAACCCTTCAAGTACCTACTATACTTATCAGAAAAGAGAACCAGATAAGGGACAGATATGACGAAAGTATCTAAACTGAATGAGTATCCTTCAAGTACATACCATATTTATCAGAAAAGGGCATTAGATAAGGGATACATATAGTGAAAGTACCTATACTATATGTGTAACCCTTCAAGTATTGACCACATTTACCAGAAAAGAGAACCAGATAAGGGAGACATATAATGAAAGTATCTATACTGAATGAGTTACTCTTCAAGTACCTATCACATTTATCAGAAAACAGCATTAGATAAGGAAGAGATATAATGTAAGTATCTATACTCAATGGGTAACCCTTCAAGTACTTACCATATTCATCAGAAAAGAGCATTAGATAAGGGAGAGTGACTAGAGAGAAAGAGAGAGGGAGAGAGAGAGAGAAGATAAAGAGAAAAGTAAAGGAAAAAAAGAAAAAGGAAAAGAAATGGTGATAATTAAATCAACTCTTAATGGTCAAGTATCAAATTAAGGAATATTCTTATCTATAACATACTTATGTTGTACTGTTCAAGAAAAAAAAGAGAAGAAAAGAAAAGAAAGGAATGATAAATCAAAGGATAAAAAGAAATATTGTTAGAAGGGGTTTCATGCAAGAGCACTTAACCTATAGACCACTGAGCCAGCATCCCATGGTGTTTATGCCTAATTCCAACCATTCCACGAAGTTAAGCAACCGTTCACCAATTTTCTTCAGTGAGTTCCTATCTCACAACGGAAGTGGTTGAACTCCACTGGTTACTGCTTCTCACTAGAACTCCAGGATTTACCTCTCGAAGTCAGTCCCTTCTGATAATAATAATCATATGCTCACTAGTGACTGACTTCGTTAGGTAAATTCAGGAGTTCTAGTGAGAAGCAGTGACCAGTGGAGTTCAAATCTTATTAGTTAAGATACACTTTTATACAAATACTTGAACTAATAAGTATCATCAAAAGATTTTCTAGAATTCTAATAACGTGATGGTGTTTGAAGCGAACGGTACTGGGTTCGAGTCTCAGAGTGAACATCAACTCTGAGATGCAAGTACATCTAGCTGATGAGCCCCAAATAGGATGAAGTGGCGCACGTCCTGGATTCCACTGCTAGCCACTATCCATCTTTGCTTAGAATGCTTGTGAATTAAGGCTATATCGAGACAATCCTCACAGTATGCACAATATTCCAATAAGAGACTGACCATTTGCAATCCTAAATATCAATGGGAAGATTCAAACAAACAATACCAGATGAATTTAAACTTGATCCCATTGCATAAACAATTGGCTATCAGGTCTCAGTAGCTGAATGGACAGCGCGATGGCATTTGAAGCGAACAGTACTGGGTTCGAGTCTCAGAGTGAACATCAACTCTGAGATACAATTAGACCCATTCAACAAGATCTAAATAGGATGAAACGCGTGTCCTGAGTTTGACTGCAACCCACTATCCATCTTTGATTATTAGACAAGTTGTATGTAACAAATTATAGAACCATGTACGTTTTCTATTTCACTATGTTCGTAGCATTTTTTTCTATTACCTTAATTCATAATGTGAAATATCTTACTATCCTTTGTTTCTAATCATACCTTGATACACTATAAGACGTCAATTTGTTTGATATGGTTTCTGTTAACTACCTTTTTGGAAAGTCAATACTGGGAAATAAGTTTTTAACCATATATAGTTTTTCTAAACTGGTTTATTATTCTTATTGAATGATCTAGGACCCCCAGGGGAACCAGGGAAACCGGGACCACCAGGACCACAAGGGCCAATTGGTAAGTTAAAATATATATTTATCGAATGCAATAGGTATTTCAATTTTCTTAAAATTTGATATTAATACAATTTGTAGTGATATGTCCTGTTTATCACTATACGATCTGGTTATATGAATCAATGATTGACAGTTGATTCCTGGAACTCCAATAAAGAGACTTGGATCAGTTACCTAAGCGAAACGTTTGAATTATTTACACTTCAATCTCTTTAAGATGGAAACACTTTTACAATGGACTGGTTTTGATTAAAAAATGGAATCCATTACAAGTATTTCCTACCATCAACAACAGTCTACTATGAGAGAGAACATATCAGATTCTGACTGAAAAGGAAATTAAGAAAAGTCGTTGAATGTGATTAGGATATACATAAAGAAAATCATCAATGTTCACAAAGAGGTAAGTGCTTATCTGGAATCCTTAAGGGTAACAGAAAAGAGGAAGACAGAAGAACATACTACGTCGGGACTTGGAAGCAGACATAAAAAGGATGAATATCAACTGGAAAGGATTAGGAAGAATTATTGAGGACAGAGTTGGATAGAGAATTATGGTGGACAGCTTATTCTCCTCCACGGGGGTCTACAGGTGTAACCATATATATATATATATATATCTTAAGACAGTTAATGAACTAAGATGGTGGTTGGAGGTGGCCAACAGGAAACCCTGGTCCCGGGTTTAGTGCTACTTGGCACTTGTCAGCAAGGTATACCTGTAACCTTGAGGGAGCTGGTGCTCCCTGACGGTTAATGAACTAAACAGTTTTCAATTTATATATTTATGTAAAAATGAATATTTGAATGCTTATTTATTTTTATTTTGAACTCTTCAGCTTCATGAACCTACGCTCTCATGTTGGTATTCACACGGAGATGTGAACTCAGTAAACTTTACTACCAATGCCTGATGTGTAAATTTTTAAGCTACTAAATCCAGATAACCACTGACTTGTATAATAGAAATAAATTGAAGACTTAAAATTGTAAACCATTTGGCCTCGGGAGCAATGGTTTAAAGATTAAACATTTGAATGCAAGACCGAAGGGTCAGCGTCCGATTACCGCTTGAGGGTTCTTAGATTAGTACTACTGAGGACTTTCATGACAGAAAGAAATGACCGTCTAGTGCTTTCAGGTTTTCAGTGATAGTCTCACATTAACCAGTTCTTCATTTTGATAAAGCTATCCTCGAATTTTAGGAATTTCAACTAATCAGTATCTTTTTAGCATATGTACATTCTCAGTAACTTAATGACCATAACGAGGTAATCGTCTCAGGATGTATATGTATCGAAAAGATAATATTCAATCGCAGTTCTTAATATCAACGGAAAGATTCTGAACATTAGATGTAACATGGTAAATATCAGTTCAGAGGAAAGTTCTCTTTTGGGTGATTCAGAAGGGTTTTTGTGGAGATTTCAGTAATTTTATAGTTGAAATCATGAATCAATTGAAGCTAGACCACCATGGAAAACCTAGAAGTACTGGTCAGCTCAGTGGTTTAGTGGTTAAGCGCTCGTGAGCGAGACTAATAGGTCCTGGGTTGGAATCTCGCCAGCCTCGATCGTGGATGCGCAGTGCACAGTTAAATTCTGTCAAATATCGTAACAATGAGTTAGAATAAATATATAAAGACATAAAATCGTTATTCCCATTGAAGAAACTAATAATAATTTTAGGCGGAGATGAGGGTGTTTGGAAGTAGAATTCAGAATGAGCGTTTCGTCCTAATTGTGACTCATCGGCTGGATGTACCTGTATCTAAGTGTTGATGTTCACCCGAGGATTCGAACCCAGTACAGTTCACTTCAAATAACTAATACGAAAGTGAATATTATGATGATTTTGTTGCTGAGAACATCAATATTCATCATAAAGATACATGAGGCAAAGGGAAGGGTCAACGCGATAAGATAAGATGTTGAAAGTGTGATGATCTGTAATCAGGAGGATCATAGAAACAAAAGTAAATCAGTTTGGGGTAAAACGTCTAAAGAGAAGATAGCAGATGGCTCCGAAAGAAGAAAAGAATGAAGGATAAAGAAAAAAGATTGCAGGAGATTCAGACCATTGTAAGCGAAGAGGTTGTGCCAAATTCTTTCGGACACAATTCTGGTTTTTCCAAATGTATAGCCAGTGCTTCGCCAATGCTAAGAAGATGTAATATAACTCTCACTGACAGCTTTCTGAATACATTATAGATGATTTCGGACGCAAAATTCGCTTTCATTTAATGACCTGTCGTCACAAGTTATTCGATTATTGACCAATTTTCACCCAAGCCTCATAATGTTCTCGAATTCTTTCGGATGAAATACGCATCAAACGACCTATGTATTTGACTTAACATGAACATTTATCTAGATAAATGCACCTGTAATTGATCAAATGGAATAATTCATCTTTCAGATCATTGGTAAACATTGATATACTGAAGAACACAAATCCAAACGTTTCTGCAAAGAACGTCCTATTGAGAGAGTCATGAATTCTTTATTTCAGGATGTCTGTATCTTCATCAACCTTTAAATCGATGTTCATATACATAGTTTTCTATCCCACGGGGGTTATTCGTGTTTTATGTGATTTGAGGTTTATATTCTTGTCAATGAATATCTATGGATATCCTTTTCCGATGATTATTTTCTTAGAGAGGTTCAGTTTTTTTATCTATGAACTCGGGACTACCAGTTCTTCCTATTGTTTTTGCAAAGGATAGAATTAAGTTTTGTTTCTGACCTAAGTGTGTAAACATGATAGCTGGGCCATTCCATAAAGGTTTTTTATGGATAGATCTTCTAAAGGTTCTATCGACACCCCCTGTCATTTCGACATCAACAAAGTGAATAAAAAAGCAAGTTGTCAAAAGTGGTTTTAAGTTTATTGTTCTCCAAACTGTTCATGAAACAATCTGGTAGTAATGGACGAAATAGGGGTTCCCACGCTATTCCAGCCCTTTTGATAATTAATTACGTCGATGAATATAAACTGTACATTACAAGTGTATCGTAGTCGCAACTCGTTTAAATAAGATTTTGGCCGTCCAGTATTATTGATACTATTATTTATGTCTTTGTACATATAACTGACATGAATGGTGGCTAGCATTGGAATCCAGAAGACGCGTTCTTTCCTATTTGAGACTCGTCAGCTGTATGTACTTGTGACTTAAGGCAATATCGAGGCAATCCTCACAGGATTCACATATGGTATTAAGAGACTGATGAATTTCAATCCTAAGCATCCATAGGAAGACTCAAAGCTGATGATTTCTGTCAGTGGGATATTATTGAATGATGATTCAATATCAAATGATAAGATGAATTTGTTATTTATATTCATTTTTATGAAATCAACTAATCCTAAAATATTACATTGGGAATGTATACAAATACGTTATCTTATGGGTTCCATGTGACCTGCAAGCCAGTTTTATTATAACTTGTATAGGCACCTGAATGCCCTGTTAATATTTCATGTGATAATTCCTGTCAATTAAAGAACAACAATTTATCGATCAGACCAATGAAACAAGGAATCCGTACAAGCAGTCTGGAGCACTTGTCGATCCTGCTTTCTGCCTAGCCCAGACAGTTAAGTTCAGGACATCAATAATAGCCTCTGAAATATGAATCATTATACTCAAACATACTGAGTTTATATACCAATCAAACAGACCATATAGTATCATAAAATAGAAAATAACATATGTACAAGATTTGGCCAAATGTGGTTGTGAATAGGTGGAACAATAATTAATAGACTAAGGATAACTCAAATCGTAGTAACAGATCGTGCAGTAACAGTCTATGGGTCAAAATAAAGCTCATGATAAGAGGAACATGAATATGAATAGTTTAGTTACGTAATAATTGTACAATAGGAAATACGCATAATACATTGGTCGATAAATAGTCCTTAGAGTTACCATTCATAATTTTATTCAGGATATAACAAGTTTGATTTCACTGAAAAGAAAACTCTTCACTAAGTTCATTGTTTTCTTTCTATGTCTCCATGGATATATTTCTCGACTATATTGTAATTGTATTGTTTGCTTATATCTTCCCAGTGTTGTTTAGGACTGCACTTGATCAGTCTCTCATTGGAATATGTGTATCCTGTAAGGATTGCCTCGATAATACCTTAAGTCACAAGTATTCTAAGCTAGTAGTGGAATACAGGAAACGTGCCACTTCATCCTATTTGGGACTCGTCAGTTGAATGTACCTGCATCTCAACAACACCAAGTGTATTTTTCACTATTTTTGGCTAATCTGAATGTTAAACTTTGCATATGAATGGGTGTTATATTTTTCACGGGAGATCCTCTTAGACTGACTATTTTAACGATAGGAAACGTTTTTGTAAAATTTCACAGTTTAAATCATGAACTTCTTTCGGGTAGATCACCAATGGAAACCTGGAAGAACTAGATAGCCTTTTCGTCGTAGTGTCTGACTCTTTTACAATGAACATCCATGCCCCTCCATTCCAGAATCAAACCCATGAACTTTCGATTTGGCTTGTGAAAATTTAACCCCTAGAAAAGTTGATGAATGCTAGTTAAGATTTCTACAGATTATGGGTTTTGCACCAGCATCAAAGGTCTTGGATTCGATTCTCAAGGTCTTGAATGCTCATTTTAGAGAAGTCCCACACTAGGATGAAACGGATTTTCAGTATTTTCAGGTTCTCTCTAATCATCTACCTAAGGTCAGTTCATTATTCAAATCGTAAAACTGCTACAATCTTGACAAATTTCGTTTACTAATAAAATCTAAATAGACAAATTTTATTATTTTCTTTTTCTCACAATTCCAGGACCACCTGGACCATCAGGTGAACCCGGTACACCAGGTGCAAGAGGACCTCAAGGTATCAAAATAGATTTTAATTTAGTGATCAATTTTTCTTTAACTTTTCCATTACTTCCTAAAATACTATTGGCTTGCCGACTAATGTGAAGATGGACGTTTTTCGATAACAGTTAAACATAAAAAGACCAAGAGAGATCAGAGGAAAAAGTAACGCCAAGGTAATTGAGCTTCGACATTGCGTTTATCAAGGAGTCTTCAATGGCACAAGCATTATGGGATCCTAAAATAGTGTTTAGATGCTGTCCATATCTCAGGCTAAAGTCAACAGCTTGACATTTAGATGGACTAAATAAGAGACTATTACCAACAGACCAGCATTCAATACGAGACAAAAACTTGTTCATTTCTATGGGATGTAAAGAGGTTGAAATCGACATACACACAGTGAGGTCATTCGTATATTTCACAAAATTGTTTCCTATGGAAGATGGTAGATTATGCAGAAAGAAAGAGGAGAGGAGGGGTGAAAGAACAGCTCCTTGTGCCATACCTTCATTAGATAGTAGAGAAGTTGAACACTTTCCTCCGAACACAGTGTACTGTAAAGTAATTTTGATGTAGGTTTATTCTCTGAGCTGGATGGTTTGATCGTGGAGCTTTCATCGTCCTTCTGAACGACATCAAACACTTCACTTCTACCCGAATTTTGTGCTGATGATATCGTTCAGTATGACGATGAAAGCTCCACGACCAAACCATCCAGCTCAGAGAACAAACCTACATCAAAATTACCCACCTGAGCTACAAATCTTCTCTACTTTAAAGTAAATTTACACGTTGGAATGTACTTATTGGAAAGTTAACTCAAACTATTACTACATAGAACGTTTGACGTTGCTAAATAAGTTGATACATTAGTAGATATACTAATGCGTAGCAAAAATAAATTTTCTGACGTTTCGTCACTCATTGTAAGCCACTTCTTCAGAGAGACTAAATAACCAAGTTTAAATGGTACACAGGAACAAAACAAGAATATTATGTGTGACCAGTCAAAAAACAGGTCTGAACAAATCAATGTCATGTCATTTCGGTCAAGGAGGTTCATCAGCGACATGTATGCAAGTTTGTGTGAGCAAGGTTAGGGATGAAAAAATGTGTGACGATTATGTTGAGAAAGAATACAGTTAAATTTGTGTGCACGATAATGGTGTGAGATATGAATAGAATCAGTTATTGTAGCTCGAATAGATGGTCCAAGTTGGATTTATAGTGAGGCGTTGTTTTCTATTGAAGACAATAGGATTAAGCATTATATGGAAAGCTTCAGCTACTCGTCTTTCTTTGTAGTTGGAAAAGCCTTTTTGTATTATTTTCATGTTTTTGATATTGATTTGATAGTTGTTGACAATGGCTCGAAGTACTATTGCCGATTTAATTTAAAGTCAATCCAATTCAACGGGATCAATAGGTGGTTTCTTTGTGTACCTAATATGTTCTTTGGTTCGAGTTAAGATTTCACGTGATGACTCTCCAATATAGAAAGTATCACGATCGACACTTTTCTGTGTTGACGCCAAGGGGATTTTATCTTTTAAACGAATTAAAATATCTCAAAACGTGTTCTTTGTTTCATAACATACCTTAATTACGTATTGTTCTATGTCTCATTGAAATTCTTCTGTTGTATCATAGTGGTATGATGAAACGATAGTAAATTAATTAAGGAAAAAATATTTAAGAAATCGGCAAGTGGATGTTTATTTCAACAACTAATCATTCAATGGATGGTAATCAAAGTCATTGATGTCATGTCCTTCTTAGAGCCGATCAATTTTTATCGATCAAATATGTCTTGCTGAAGGATATCAAGACACCTAGGTCATTTAGGGTTTCTTGTTAACACCTTAGATGTTTATTTCTTTTTCACATGTCAAGTTCAAACACAAAATGAATCCTTGTTATATTACAACATAGAATAGAAACCAAAATCAGCCCCTCTAAGAGTTGGTGATCGATACGAGAATAACTTAAACGTATGGAAGTTATTCATAAGTATGTAAGGAAGTAACAGTATGTTCAGTAATTCATTCTGTACACTCTAATATTGTGCTTCTTTTTCGAAAAAAAAAAACATACAGGTGAACCAGGACCCCAAGGACCACGTGGTCTACGTGGATTAATTGGTCTTCAAGGTCCAAAAGGTGAGTTTGAATGATGTTTTGAGAAATTCAAACTAATTATGATACTGATAACAATAATAATAATAATCGCTTCAATCATTATGATTGTGTTGTGTGCTACTTATGTAGACATAAGTAGTATATAACATTTAACAGAAGAAAGATGGGAAGATCGAATCGAAGTAAGCGGGAACAGTGAGTTATTGTTTAAGGAAGACAGTTGATGGATATTCTTCAAATGAAGCATTAAATGTACAGTTTTGACATTTTAGCAGATAAGCCTGTACTTAAATACGTTGGTTATCTACACTTGTGTTCTGGTTCACTGAGCAATAAAATACTCAGTATAAAGTATTTTGTCATTACATGTTTGTAGAGGTTGTCAAATATAATTTACACCACAAGTTTATATGATTTAGACAATTATTTGCAATGAGCAATCACTGGATGGCTGTTTCATCCCTAATACAGAACGATTTAGTAGTACTCATTCACGATTCTACCACCAATGGTTAAACTCAGTACTCTCAATTTCAAATATCAATCCTTAAACTGTAAACCAGGTAATCAGGACACAATAATTCACATGTTCTTCTTCAATCAAGTAGTAACACCATACAACTATCTGCTAATATACTTTTTGGATAACTGCCTTATTCCTGTTATGATTCAACGCCACTGGTGGCTAGCAGTGGAATCCAGGATACGCGTTTCGTCCTATCCAACTGACGAGTTCTGAATAGGACTAAATACGCATCCTAGATTCTAGCCATGAACAATAGCCATCTCTATTTATAAGATAGGATACCCAAATAAGCAAAATATAATAACTCCTTAGTATTTATCATCAATGAAGTCGATTTTGTTTAGTATCAGTGGTTGGTGACTTGAGGCTCAGTATTACTCACAGTGCTACAGATGAATTCATATTTTATCTTTCTCTTAATCTTCAATCCCATTATTCCTTTAAACATGCCTCTTCAATCTATCCTTTCGTACTCTATTTTCAGTGCTTAATCTTCTGTTTGACATTGCTACATCATTATTTCAATCTATTTGACTATTCATCTTGTTAAGTTCATCTCCTCGCAATAATGTAATATAGTAATTTAGGCCTAATGTATGGACGAGGATGATAATGATTGGTTGTTTACTTAGTTAGATTAGTAGACAGTCTGACAGATACTAAGTGAGTTATATATTCTCTTATCCTTATTGTAACTGTGTTTGTGTCGGATTGTTGTGAGTTTTCAGTGTGTCAGGCTAATCACGTGTTCTTGATCTGAGTTGTGTTAAAGTCCTGTAGAATAGACACTGGGTGGGAATCTAGTGTGGATGTTCGTCTAAGGTAAATTAACGTTCCATCCGTGTAGATATATGAAATCGAGCATTAGAACAGGGCCGCTGATCTTATGTGCTAGACTCTGTATTAATGCTGGCTAACTGATCACTCTGTGTCATCAAACGTCTCATTCTTTTTAAATCACAGAATGTCTTAATAACGATATTGATGAGTAGATCCAATTAGCTTTCTGTTAAATGACAAATATCATTAGAAGAAGGGTTTTCGTGTATATTATAGTGATTCAATAGTTTAATTTATCAGTCAATCGTAGCTATACGACCACGGAAAACTTAAAACCACTGGATGGCCATTTCGTCTTATGGGACTCCTCAGCAGTGCGTATCCACGATCCCACCCACATTTATATTATGATCAATAATTCAAAGTATTTCATTTTAAATAAATTACAGTAGTCCGTTCTCTTCTTCTCCCTCCATCTCTCTTCCTCTTGTTTCCATCTTGCATTAAAATTTGATCTATTCATTCATTCATTCATTCGTCTTCAATTTACATTAAATTTGAATTTTCCGCCTTTTATTCCCGGCAAAATTAAATCTACGCTTACACATATATTTATATATTTAAAGACAAATTCAAACATTATGGGTTTCTTTTTCTTCATTTCATTGTATTAAAAAGATGAGCATAAATTTTTTTAATAAAAAGTATCTGATAAGCAATGATGGATAGTGGCTAGCAGTGGATTCCAGGACTCGCTACACTTCGTACTACTTTGGACTCGTCAGCTGAATGTGCCTCCATCTCAGAGTTGATGTTCACTCCGAGAATTGAACCCTGTACCATTTGCTTCGAACGCCATTGTGTTATCCACTCAGTTAAAGGCTTTTGCAATGTGGTGAAGTTTAAATTCACTTGGTCTAGTTTACTTGTATCTTCCTATTGTTGTTTAGGACTAAAATTAATCAGTCTCTTGTTGGCATAAGTGCATATTGCGGTTATGCCTCGATATAGCCTTCATTCACAAGCATCAAAAGCAAAGATAGATAGTTGCTAGAAGTGGAATACAGGACTTGCGTTTCGTTCTATCTGGGACTCGTCAGCTGAATGTACATGGATCAATGGGAAGATTCAAAGAAGCAATATCAAGTGAATTTAAATTTCACACGATTGCACAAGCAAGTGGCTATCAGGAGTCAGTAGCTAAGTGGATAACGCAATGGAGTTTGAAGCGAACGGTACTGGGTTCACACCAAGACAAACGAAGTATTACATCATTAGTTCTTAAATTAGTCAATAAAGAAAAACTCACTGAACCTTCAACTTGAATGTTTTAAACAATAAGATCAAATCTATACAATTTCATGTATTCAGAATTATTTTATACTTTAATTATTATTCATGCTTCAACCAGTGTTTTGCTTCACCAGAATCATTATTAACATTTCATTGTATTCATTCTAGGTCCTCCTGGTCCAATTGGACCACCTGGGAAAGATTGTAAGTAACATTCAATATTGTTTTTATGTTGATAATAAAAAAAACATGTTTGTTTGAAGCAATGACGTTCGAAAGGAATGATACTTGGTTCGAGCCCAGGAGTGAATGTTAACTCTAGGATGCAGGTACATCCAACTGACGGATGCCAGATAGAACGACACGTGTGTTCTGGATTCCACTACTAGCCATCATCCATCTTTGTTTATAGTATGTCAGTTGTTTATGTTAATATTAACTAATCAGCCCCCGGATGCTCTAGTACGGCCGAGAATGGGAAGAGTCCGATTTCCCTCACCAAACGCTCTCACATGGCCACACGTATATAGCCTCTGCTAGGGAAGTCCTACTCACTGCCTTCTCGTTGCGCGGGTGTTGTTTACGAAATTGAGAGGACAAAAAGCGAATATTCAGTACACCAACATGTTTGTTGGATATGGAGGATTCAATTCGTGTCCTTCATTTATAAATATAGTGTAAGTCACGGAGACTTGATTAATGTTTACAGTGTGTTTGGAGTGCATAGGTATTCGATCTGTTCATATTTGGTGTACATGTAATATGTAGTTCCTCAACTGGGATTCAATACTAACGAGTAGTAAATGAATGGACAAGAGTTAAGATTATGTGGAGACTATCTCAAAATGGTTGACTTGACCAAAATTTATCCTTAGTTTTATAAGTAAAGATGGATTGTGGCTAGCAGTGGAATCTAGTACTCGCGCCACTTCGTCCTATTTGAAACTCGTCAGCTGGCTGCACCTGCATCCCAGAGGTGATGTTCACTCCGAGGCTCAAACCCAGTACTGTTCGTTTCCAACTCAGCTACTGAGTTTGTAAATGTGTAGATTATCAATGTGGATAAAGAAGTCTACTCAAGTTAAAAGGAAACGGTGTTATTAAACAGAATAATAAGGAAGAAAATTGTGTGTTTAATCTAAGAACTTACAAAATATTTACATAATACATATACATAACCTTCAATCGCCCATTTGCATCTTTCGGTGTTTTCTGCCATTTGAACTGTTTTCTCGTCTGGTCTTCAAGTGTCCTTCTAACGCTGTACTTTCGATGCACGCTTTTAACCACACACTACTTGGAAAAATCCTCAGGAGCAGCGTCCATTACAGTGTAACCTCCTAGCTTACGTCGAAGTTATGCTTCACGATTAACACCTGACGAGGATTATTCAGCCATGATACTCAGGTACTGCGACTACTTTAGTGATTGCACAAAACTAACTACTATTAGTAACTACAGATTAGAGAAGTACTATGCAAAGACATTGATTCATAAGCTGGTGCATGGAGTACATTTTATAAATCAGACTTATACACCAATGAAACCATTAGGAATGGAACGACCCTAAAGGCATTGATACGGCTGAGATTTGGGAGAATCCGATCTCCGTCTGCAGATACTCTCACATGTGGAGAAATTCAAACACTTCACTTCTACCCGAAGTTTGTGCTGATGATGTCGTTCAGAAGGACGATGTAAGCTCCACGACCAAACCATCCAGCTCAGTGAACAAATCAACATAAAAATACTCTCACATGGCTACGCGTATAAAGCCACTGTCAGAAAAATCCTACTCTCTGCCATCTAGCAAAGTGAGTGTCTTTTATAAAATTGGGAGGACAAAAAGCTAAATTCCAGAGCTTTAACCAGGTTGGTTGATATGAACGATTTACCTAGAAGAGTTGGAAAACCCTGATTTCAAAGCGATGGTGCACATGGGCTATGAGATCATGAGGGAACAAAAGGCATAAGAACCAATTATTGGTCACCAGCTACCATAGAACTGCATCTTCTGATGTTGCTACACTGCCTTGCAGATTAAACATTTAGGTCAAAGGTTCCGGGTGTGACCCTCTAAGGCATCTGAACAGTATCGCAGCCTACACAAAAACTAATGATAACTACTTCTGGTTTCATCATTATTGTATGGCACATGTATATTTGGTACCCCTTGTACCAATCTTTATGTGTTTAAATAATAATGATAATAATAAGGAATGTATCATATCCTGATGAAGACAATAAGTACAGGTAACTCCTAGGACCTATTCATGGACTATTATTCTATTGAATGATTAGATTGTATGTATCTATATTCATCTTATTAAAAATTTAACTTCATTTAACTCTTTACAGCTCCACCTCATACATGTAACGTATTATGTGAAAAAGGAAAATATCGTTATGGTAAAGAAGAATCAGGTTAGTGTAAAATGTTTGTAAAACAAAGAAGTGAAAACTATTGTGTGAATAGATTTAGTATCACGTTAATTGTCTTCATGGAGATTTATATTGTGGCATATAATGTCAATCAGTCAGTCAGTCAGCTACCACTTAGGACCAGGTTCACATATGCATCGGTCCAAGTTGCCATACCTCGTTAGCACAACAATATCAACACTGAGTTCATAGAATTAGTTACTTCAATGATAGTAATATATAAAAGATAGGTTGTATATAAGGATATAGTATAGGAAGAAAGACAGATATGAAGCAATTTTAATCTCAAGGCGGCCTGCTCGAATCCCTGGGCTACCTGTTTCTGCCATCTAAATATTTCAACAAGTTATCTGGGTTTTTTAAAAATTTGTTTTAACCTATCATTATGTCTCTTGATCGCATAACCTATTCAGACGCGTTTATGAAAAGCTTACGTCATTTCACTGCAAAAATTACAAACAAGCACAATAAGAGACATCGTTGTGTTTGGCAATATGCTTTAGAGAGAATAAACATTAATCAAATGTCGATTCCCGAGCTGCTTAACTCTAACTGTCGATCTCTAATTAACAAGGTGGACTATCTCCAATTTCTGCTAAGTCAAAACATGTATCGTAATTGTGGTGTCATCACAATTCAAGAATCTTGGTTGACTGACTTACAGGATGATTGCCTAGTATCATTACGTGATCTTAATATCTATCGTCAGGATCGATCAAACAATAAAAAGACCTGTGGTGGCGCAGTAGCTACTGGTTTTTTTTGTTTTGTTTTTTTGGTAAAAAAAAACTTGTTGAAATAACTCATGCTGAGAATTCTATATTGTACCAGATTATAATATTGAATAAAGCCATTAATTAATAATAATAATTAAGGGAAGATAAAGAGTGTATACACCTACGCCATTGTGATCGATTCCGGGGTCATGTCACACAGAGTCTCCAACCATTGGTTACGATAATCACGCGGACCGTAGCCATTCAGTCTGAATCTAACAACATGGCTCAGACTAGAATTTATTGACTACAAGCTCTGATGGCACATTTTGGTTTGGCCGCCTCTAATATAAAATGTGACGTTTGAAAACTCTGAATTTCATCTAGTTTATTGTAGTGACTGTATATTGTTATAACTTCATAACTGTCAAGCATTGCCTGATTTTGTGCGCCGATTTCCCCATTCGAAATCAGATCATAGAGAGAATAAACTTTCAGTGACCTGAAAAACTTAAAATATCAATTGAGAAGCCAATAAGAATAATGTAAGAGAACCTACTAGTAATCTTCCTTTAGATTTAGAGTTTCAGTATTACTGATAAGCGTAGTTCCATTCTATCCACTCGAACTGTACTATAAATGGTCAGGTTTTTGTATTATCTTGATTATTATGATGATTTCGACTCCTTTGATATTCATTTTATGATTTGGATTCTGTTGTACTTATTTTCATATGGTAACTTAAGGTAACAAACATTATGGCCAGACATCATAGTAACTGTAGTTGAGTAAATGAGATGACAGAATGTATCTTGAAGAGGATTTTATCACGACAAATTAGTCACATAATCAACTATTTAATTGAGTGATTCATAAGATATGGATAGGCCAGTAAAGTGAAAGAACGTAACTTCTGACCCTAACTTATGTTCCAGTTACTCAATAAAGTAATCAAAATTACGTTACTCTAAACCATACTACTTTCATTATGAACAAAAATGGATGGTGATTAGCAGTGGAATCCAGGACAATACGTTTCGTCCTATATGAGATTCATCAGCTAGCTGTACCTACATCCTGGGGTTGACGTTTAGTCTGGGACTCGAACCCACACTACTTCCCTTCATAAGTGTAATAACGTAAATGTTTTTGAAGCAATCAAACTTTCAACTGTTACCTCTATAAATGACTCATTACTTATCACTGTTACAAATTATTAAACTGGATTAACATAACTGTTTGGATTCACTAACATGGAACAGTGATATGTATACTCAACCAGGTAGTGGATATAAACAACTTCCATCAATAAAATGAATTCTTGTTTTTTTGCTTTATAGTTACATTTATAAAGTTTAAAATTGAGTAATATTCAGGTGTGCTATAGTCTACTTATATCCACATAAGTATTATATGATGATAGTCAGATATCGAATGTATTTTGGCAGAAGATCGATAGGGAAAGAACAGGAACGAAGCACAATCGGTATGAAAATGCATGAACAATGAAATTAGAGAAGATGGACTGATATTTTCAGAAGGAACAGATAAGATTGAGACAATTGATTGATAGTTTACAAATTAACTGGTTACTATATGGTTATCAGAATTTAGTGAGATAGTTTGTAATTTGTGCTTCAATACATTGGATTGTCCCCACCTATGTTCTGTTCACTATACTATTATGCAACTCCTAAACAGTGAGCGTCCATGATCTCGCACTCAAGACTCGAACTCAAAGCCTCCAGTCTCACACACAAAAATCCTGAGCTATTCAATACTTCCAGATTTGTGCTTAATTACATTCAATTGTCTCCACTTGTGTTCTAGTTCACAACGATAAGACTTAGAAGCTGATTTACAGTTCAGTGACTTATACTTATCTGTATGATGTATTGATCATTTAAATTCATTTTAATTATCTTTACATTGATATTTTAGCATGTGAAGTGAAATGTACAAATTACATTGAAGGTGAAGAAGAATTAACCTGACAAATTCTTGTTTTATAGGTTAGTAATAGATATTCTTTATATATATACATAATTTAACTTTGAAACGAACAGGCGGGATTCCGTAAGGATCGATCAATCACTCGAACGGAATTCATCGCTCTACATCAACTTCATTGACTACGAAAAAGCATTTGATTGCATGGACAGGACAACCCTATGTAGGCTTCTTCGACACTATGGCGTTCCTGAGAAGATAGTCAATATTATACGGAATTTTTGTGATCGATTGAATTGCAAAATCGTGCATGGAGGACAACTCGCTGACTCGTTCGAGGTAAAGACCGGTGTCAGGCACGGTTGCTTACTCTCACCCTTTCTCTTTCTCCTGGTGATCGACTAGTCATGAAGACGTCAACATCTGGAGGGAAGCACGGGATACAATGGACAGCTAGGATGCAGCTAGACGATTTAGACTTCGCAGATGATCTGACTCTTTCATCACACATGCAACAACAAATGCAGGAGAAGACGGCCAGTGTAGCACCATCCCCAGTAGCAGTGGGTCTTAACGTACACAAAGGGAAAAGCATTCACGAATCGAATTACACTTGACAAAGAAGCTCTGGAGGATGCGAAAAACCTTTATATATCTGGGCGGCATAATTGATGAACATGATAAATGTGATGCAGATGGAAATGTGCGAATCGGCAAAACAAGAACAGCATATTTACAACTGAAGAACATATGGAACTCAAAACAAATATCTGTCAACCAACACCAGCATCAGAATTTTCAATATAAATGTCAAGACAGTTCTAATGTATAGGGTGGAGACTTGAAGAACTAAGAAAGCCATCATTCAGAAGATACAAGTGTTCATTAACAGTTGTCTATCGAAGATACTTCGAATCCGTTGACCAGACACTATCAGCAACAATCTACTGTGGGAGACAAAAAACCAGATTCCAGTGAAGGAACAAATCAGGAAGAGGTGCTGGAAGTGGATAAGACACACATTGAGGAAATCACCCAACTGCGTCACACGACAAGCCCTCACATGGAATCCTCAAGACCGAAGAAAAAGAGGAAGACCAAAGAACACATTACGTCGAGTAACAAAAACAGATATGAGAAGAATGAACAACAAGTGAATAGAACTAGAAAGAAAGGTGTAGGACAGAGTGTTTTGGAGAATGCTGGTCGGCGACGTATGCTCCATTGGGGGTAACAGGCGTAAGTAAGTAAGTAAGTAATATACATATTTTGATGAAGCTTTCAATGAATGAATCAGGCTAATCAAGGCCTCATTAGTTTTGTGGTTACACGTTTAATTATATATAACTAACATAAGCTAGGTAACATAACACTTCAAAAGTTAGAAGTAACCAATACGTATCGAGAAACACGACACTTCAGTTGAAAGTTTTCTATTGACTATTAACAATCATCTGGTAAAAAAAACGTTGTCAAATGAATCTTTTCTCAGATATAAATACAGGATACAACTTTTGTCTGTGATACTTCTTACATGCAAAGACTTTTAAAGATGCTCAGATTGAATACAAACAATATACCTTCTCTCTAGTTACTATGTCTATCAAATCATAGCAATAGTTACTAAGGGAGTTTTAAACAAAAGTAATCTGTTGTGCTGTTTAATGAAGTACTATAGTAGTATTGTCTACCAACTTCTAAGTGATCACCAAAGTAGATGCTAACATAGTCTGCTATATCATACCCATGATTTTAACATTTAGGATACTAATCGTAATTTTAATAAAAACTAGAGATACTAATTTTTCATAAGTGATAAAAAGTTTAAGTAAAGATGGATAGTTGCTAGCAATGAAAACCAGGACGTGTGTTTCGTCCTATTTGAGAATCATCAGCTAGATCTATCTGCATATCACAGTTGATATTCGCTCTGAGAAGATACAAGCAAACAACGTCAAGTGAATGATAAATCTTTTTTTTTCTATCTAATTAGCTGTTGTTATTTATAGTCATGTTGTCTTTCCATACACATTTACTTTGATGAATATCCTGGCTAACTTGATTTCTGACCTTTACATTTTTTGTGTAATTATCTTGTTGAATGACGTAATAGGTCTGTCATGATATATCTACACATAAATATTGATACAAGGGGACACCAGATATAAATGCGCCACACAAATGTCATTTGATTGTGTGAGGGCTGTGATACTGCCCGGGTGCCCAGACCAAAGCAGGTGGTTTACTTAGGCGGCCACACCTCGAATCTTTGACCTAAAGGTCTGATGCACAAGGCAGTGGAGCATCATGAGGAGATGCAGTCCCATGGTAGTCGGTGACCAACGATTGATTCATACGCCATTTGTTCCATCAGGATACTGGAGCCAGCCAATGTGCACCATTGATTTGGAATGAGGGTTTTCCAACCCCCTAGGCTGACGCGCCGTGTACACCAACCCGGTTAAAGCACCGTACATTCGCTTTTTGTTCTTTCAATTCCGTAAACAACAGTAATGACACGAGAAGACAGTGAGTAAGACTTCCATACATTCTCTTTTCGTTCTCTCAGTTTTGTAAAAAAAAACACCCTAGCCACGATAAGGCAAAGAGTAGGACTTTCCTGGTGTAAGCTATATACGCGTGGCGATGTGAGAGCATTTGGAGAGATAGAGCGGGCCCTCATCACTCTCAGCCATACCAGGGCATTAGGAGGCGAAACTCTAGAATTCTGACAATTCTTCATTTTGCTACTATGATTATGATAGTCCATGATAGATTAATATAAACAACAACGTACTACAGACCTTTTTATAGCTAGTTGAATGTTCATATAAACAGAGATGATATAGAGATGTATCAGTTTGTTCTAATTGTTGTTTTCCTTCAACAAAAAAAAAATCTCATTAGTAACAATTGTTTTCTATTACTTTGTTTCTTTCAGGTACCATTATAATTCCATACAATTTACTAATGGATATCCGGTTGAATACACTTTAAATATCATATAAACTGTTATGATCAAATTGATATTTAAATAGGAAACATTTTCCTGTAAAATATACTGAGCTTCCCTATTAATTAAACAGTCATTTGAATTGTATTTTATTTTTAAAGGTATTTAAATTGTATTCCTTTGTTTATTGATATTTTTTCGACAGTTTTCGTTACATCCAACAACTTACAAATTTATGAAATATACTACTTATATGTATTTCGATAATACTACTTAAATATTATTGATAATCATGTATAGGATATATGTATAAAAGAAGTTGAACAATTTGTTTGCTATTTAATAAGACATTTTCATTAATTTTAGTGAAGAATTAATCAATCTTAACAAATTATAAATCACTTTTTACTTTAATAGTTGAATTCATGTATCAATTGTTATTAGAACACCATGCAAAACCTGAAAGCATTGGGACTTCTCAGCAGTAGGCATCCATGATCGTGGATTGGTTGAAGTTAGACATTAACACCGTTGGATGCCGGCTTGGTGGTCTCAACTTCAAGTGTTCACGCTCGTGACAGAAGGTCCTGAGTTCGAATCCCGTGTGCGAGATCATGGATGCGCATTGTTTAGGAGTCTCATATCAGGAAACCATTGGCTGTTCAATGCTTCCAGGTTTTCTATGGTTGCCAAGCTCTAATCGATTCATGAATTGAACTAATTCGTTGTATTCACAGATTATTTTTGAAACGATCATAATATATTCCATTTCTTTTCAAAAATAAAAGAACTGTAAAGATTCTTTATAATATTCATAAATAATGTTGTAAAACATTAATCCAAACGCCTTGTTAATTGTAGTTCATTTTATTCACAGTACCAATCAAGTCGAGAAGAGAAGGAAAGGCTCTTGGAACTTGTATATGCGGGACCCGAACCCAAGATCAGATTGTCAATAATGATCTAGCTTAGATTGAATCGTGAATTCAACTGTGAAAATACTACAATCTGCACAAATCTTCATCCTGCTACAAATACATTTTCATTACAGTTATCTGTCCATAACATAATTCAACTTCAAATAACCACCTACCAGTCTTCAGACTGAAGTTATAAAATTAGTCATATATTGTCAGGCTACTCATTAGTAGTATAATTTGATATCGAAAAAAACCACTTCATATATAGTTGAAAATGTGTCAATTGAAGTTAGACCACCATGGAAAACCTGGAAGCACTGAACAGCCGTTTCGTCCTATTATGGAACCCCTAAGCGGTGCGCATCCGCCATCCCACACTCGCGAGATTCGTACCAAGGACCTATCAGTCTCGAGCCAGAGCTCTTACTCGTTAGATCACTGAGCCGGCCTTCATCCAACGGTGTTAATTTTCAAATTTGGATTCAAATTTCATTACGAAATCGTGGTATACTTTATATAAATCTCAATCTAATTAACTAATTCATAATTTCACTTTAATAATATAAAATAAGCATAATAACCATACAGATTGTTCAGTAGTATTCTTTAGTAGTACATCGTTTCATTTACAAAAAAAATGGAGACAATATCAATTAAATCATTCAATTTCATTGAAAATTCTTCTGTTAACTTCTTTGAAAAAGGAAACTAAAAGGAAAAGAAATGATCAACATAAGGGAAATAGTATTAAACACAAGAATAAAATAGTATTGAACTTCATAGAGTCTATGATGTGACTAATTTGAAGAAGTCCCACAGTAGGACGAAACGGCCATCCAGTACTTCAAGGTTTTCCATGGTGGTCTAGCTTCAATCGACTAATGATTTCAACTATGAAAATACTAAAACTCTACAAAAAAACCCTTTTGTTAATAATTTAAAGAAGTAATTCCTAGAGTTCTAGTAAGTAACTGTCATTAGCTTAAATCAACAATGTTAGATGTTGGATAGTTGCTTATTTAATGGTATTGGAAAATGATTACGTAACATCCCTTATTGATGGACATCTGAAATGTAAATCTATGGATACTAAGTTTGAATGAGTCTTTATATGGAACATGAGACTAAAAAATACCGATAGAGCTAACTATTTTTCAACTCGAATATATTTCGTGAAAGAATTTCCATTGAAATTCTATGATGAATAATGATGCTGCATATGTTTTCGGCAACTTTGCTGTAAGCTTCACGATCTCCCAAAAAATTTATACTTTTTTTTAGGATAAGTGGTGGGGACGTTAGATTCCCAGAATTCACTTGGAAAAGATCATAATTTTGTAATTTTATTCGGATTTTATGTTTTCGCCACAAGAAACGCTTAATTGATCTACAGCTTACATTTCCCACTCGGGATTCCTTGACTGTCATTGATTGACGGATTTTTTTTAGTACGCTATTTTTGACTCTTCCAAAGGCGTTTCTATTATTGTATAAATAAGCTTGATTTGTATGCTTAGTGACCTCGTATATTCTGAGTGCTTTTAGAATACATTTTCTACGCCTCATCAAGACTTCTTGATCTAGTTAGAATGGCCGGGGACAACGGATTAGAATTAGCCTTTGTGTCATTGACCTTTATTCCGTTTACCGAGTAAAGCATCAAGCATATTATTACGTTATTCTATAGAAATAAACAGATTGATTTGTCGTTTGATAGTAATGAATGATAAATTATCTACTACTTAGTGAAAAGAGAATTCCACTGGTCCGGTTATGACACGGTGATTGAGGTAGTTGATAAGAACACCAAACGTTGCTGTGTTTGATGGATTATGATATTCGAAGCTTTCAATTAGCCGTTCGTTACAAGGTTTCATATATTTATCATACAACATTGAAGATTATCTGAAACCGTGGTTTGTTCAAGCATAGATAGATCAGTTTCTCAGTCGAATCCCACTAATTGATCTTAGCTTGGTCATCATTGAAAACGTGGAAACACTGGACAGTTCTTTCGTTCTAGTATACGACTTCGTAGATGGGCGCATCCACAACTCCGCATCCAGGAATCAAACCTATAATCTTTGATCTCGCGAACGATTCCCAACTCTTAAGTTGATATTGTGAATTTTCGCAATTTAGCGAATACTTCATAAACAAGTGTAAAAAGTCAATGATGTTATTATACAACTTAGTTTAAAAGTTGTTTTCTGAGAAGGTTGAATAATTTCATTAACAAACTCTATTTGAGCCGAGATGAAGTGTTGACATACTATAATTCAGACTATATTTCATAATAAATGATGGATACTAACCAGTAACTATGGTATGATGTGGTCTGGTTTGCTTTTGTATAAACTACGTGTGTCTGAAATACATTATTCATATAGCGGAGCCTTAAATTGACGTTATGAACTGAATCTACTGGGTTAAGGAAGAAGTTACTATCTCAGTGAACCAATAACAATTCAGAGTTCACTTTAAGCTGCTCGAACAGATTTATGCAACAATAGTCTGGTCCAATAAGTCAATGTTCTAATTGACGATCGTATCACGTGATAATCAACAAGTTATAAGAACATGAGAGATATCATGACTAGAATATGAAATGGGGAACATTGAGAATTATGATTGTCGAAAAATCTGATACTTTTGTGGGGAAAGACAGATAGTGTTTAGCAGTGGAATCCAAGACGCGCGCCACTTCATCCTATTTGGGACTCGTCAGCTGGATATACCTGCATCACAGAGTCGATGTTCACTCTGGGACTCAAACCCAATACCGTTCACTTCAAACGCCATCACTTTATCCACACAGCTACTGAGTTCTGATAGCCACTTGCTTGTGTTTGTTTACTTCTGAAAGCTTAAATAAAACATCTATCTAATAACATCATAGTTCCTAATAAATTTATATATGAATCCAATTCTTAAATAAAAGAATCATCTAAACACAATTTTGATTTGGTATTTTCTTAACTAATTAACATCTAACTTGTTACTCACTAACTTACTTACTCCTATTACCTCTCGTGGAGCAGCATAGGTCCAACACCAACATTCCTCCTCCAACCTTGTCCTGGGAAATCCTTTCCAGCTCTTTTCAGTTAACATTCATCCTTTTCATATCTGCTTCTATTTCCCAACGTAATGTGTTATTTGGCCTTCCTCTTTTCCACTTACCTTACGGATTTCAACTTAGGGCTAGCCTCATGATGCAGTTTGGTGATTTCCTTGATGTATGTTCGATCCAGTTCCAACATCTTTTCTTGATTTCCTTTTCAGCTGGAAGCTGATTTTTCTCTCCCATAAAACGCTGTTACTGATAGCATCCGGCCAGTGAATGTTAAGTATTTTGTGTAGACAATTATTTATACATACTTGTACTTTTATGACTACGATTGTAGTGGTTCTCTACGTTTCAGCTTTGGACAGTAGGACTGCCTTGACGTTCGTAATGAAGGTTCTCACTTTGAAATTAGTTGACAGTTGTTTTGAGTTCCATGTGTTCTTCAATCGTAGAAATGCGGTCCTTGCTTTGCCAATTTCGGCTTTTACGTCTGCATCAGAGCCTCCTTGTTCATCAGTGATGCTTCCCAGGTACGTGAAAGTTTCCACATCTTCCAGAGTTTCTCCATCAAGTGTGACTGTTGTATTTGAGAATCTTGCTTTTTCCTTTTTGTATGTTGAGGCCTATTGATGCAGAAGTTACTGCTACATTAGTTGTCTTCGTCTGTATTTGTTCGTGTGTATGTGATGGGAGGGCCATGTCATCTGCGAAGTCCGTCTGAAGTTCGTCTGACTGATTCTGAGATGCCAAGGTCTTCATGATCCATTCAATCACCACCTGTAACTCTTATAGAGTTAGTGCCGGTCCGAAGCCCGTGTAAAGAAGAAGAATTGGGCATAGGGTTAGTGACCCCATTCCGTAGAAAACTAATAATTCAAACCATTTAAATTATAGAAAATCTTCGTTCACTTACATCTTTCAACAAACTTTCACAATGAATAGGCCATTTCGATAAATTATTTAAATATGATTGAATAGTTGATTTTGAAAGCTTTTCATGTTCATTTCGATGTTTCGTTTCGTCATTGAATGAGTTGACCTCTTCAACACGATCATCATCCTCAATATCATTGTCAATATTAACATCTTGTTTATCACTATGGCAACTATTTTGATCTAAAAATGTTAATTTTTCTAAATCATTTAATGATAAACATAAAATTTCCGCTGCTTTCATTTTAGCTAATTGTAAACTATCTTGACTTATTGAAGGTTTTGAATTACCTAAAAAAGAAATACAAGAGAAAGAATAAAATACGCTAGATGTTTGAATGTTATTAGGATCAGAAGGGGTTTTTGTGAAGATTTCAGTATTTTTCATAGTTGAAATCATGAATCTATCGGTTAAGTGCTCTGGTGCGAGACTCGTAGGTTCTGGGTTCGAATCTCGCGAGTGCGGGATTGTGGATGCGCACTACTGAAGACAAAACGGCCGTCCAGTGCTTCCAGATTTTCTATGGTGGTCTAGCTTCAATCGATTCATGATTTCAACTATGAGTTATTAAGATCATTCATCAAAATTGTGAATTGATTGATGGTGGATATGTACACTATTGATTGTTCAATGAGAGACTTGATCCCTAGAGGGTTCATGAATGTGCAGTAGGTTCTTTATTAGGATAGAATAGTTGTACAGTGCCCTGCTCCTTCTCCCTTCTTTTCAATGGTTGTCTAACTTGTATTGATTAGTAACCACAGTAAAGATAAAATAATTTTCTTAAAAGCTAATCAAGGGGGAAAATAGACAAATCGAATGTTGGTCGCTTTATTTTGTCATATCTGTAAGAATAATTTTAAGTTATTAATTGTTATTATATGTGACAAGACTCGTACTCTGACCTCATGCGAAATGTCGGAGACGTGGAGAACTCCGAAAGCCATCATCCAGAAGATACAGGTGTTTATTAATAGTTGTCTACGCAAAGTACTTAGGATCCAATGACCAGACACTGTCAGCAACAACCTACTGTAGGAGAGAACAAGCCAGATTCCAGTGAAGGAAGAAATCAAGAAGGTGAGCTGGAAGTGGATAAGACACACATTGAGGAAATCACCCAACTGCGTCAAAAGACAAGCCCTCACATGGAATCTTCAAGACCAAAGGAATAGAGGAAGACCAAAGAATACATTACTTCGAGAAATGGAAACAGATATGAGTAGAATAAACAACAGTTGAATAGAACTACAAATGGAAGCTGTAGGACAGAGTGTGTTGGAGGATGCTGGTCAACGGCAGACGTAAGTAAGTATTAATTGTTATTATATGTTTTACTGATCAAAAATTACACCCAATTACTTGTATTTAGATTATTCAGTTTTACACCACAAAGAACTTAGTTATAGGTAAGTTGACGATTTTTATTAGGATCACGAATCAATTCAAGTTATACAACCATTAAAGACTTAGAAGTATTGGACGTTTGTTTCATTCTAGTGAGGAATTTCTCAGTAATTTGTATACATAGCCGTGCGAAATGGAATTGGACCCAGAGTCTTCAATCTCACGTGAAAATGCATAACCTCTAGACAACTTTACCAACAGTAAAAATGTCTAACTTCAATCTCTTAGGATAACTGAACGGCAACAAGTAAATATTCTGGACATCGGGAAAATGTATTTTTTGACCATAGTAATACTTTGTATGCATGACTTAGCAAGTAAATAAATGAACGATCTTTAGATCTTGTTACAAACGTCAGTCAAAGAGACTGACCAGCTGCAGTCCTAACACATCGATGGGAAGATTCAAACAAACAATACTAAGCGAATTTAAACTTCACCCCATTGCACAAGCAAGTGGCTATCAGGACTCAGTGGCCTAGTGGATAACGCGATGGCGTTTGAAGCGAGGGTACTGGGTTCCAGAGTGAACATCAACTCCAGCTGACGAGTCCTAAATAGGACGAAACGCGCGTCCTGGATTCCACTGCTAGCCACTATCCATCTCTGCTTACCATGCTTGTGAATTAGGGCTATATCGATGCAATACGCACAGTATACACATATGCCAATTAGAGAATGACCAGTTGCAGTACTAAGACATCGATCGGAAGATTCAAACAACCAATACTAAGTGAAGTCAGTCAAAGAGTTAAATTATCCTCGCATAGAGTAGTCTCTACGATAGATTCGGACGATACTGTAACTCAAATATTTTTTGTTGTTGATAAATTGAATTGAGTACAAACAACAAACTAATCAATTCTAGTTGATAGGAAAGTTATATTTGATTAAGTATACAAACGTAGAGAAATGTGAACCTTTTAAACTGGCTATCTTAGAATAGGTGAGACATTTCATATCAGTTTATTTCATAATATGATAGTGTACCCGTCGGCCTAGATTAAAACCAACATGATTTGGATAATTATCAAAAGAGGGTTTTGTGGAGATTGTAGTAATTTAATAGTTGAATTCATCAGTCAGTTAAAGCTAGACCACCATGAAAAACCTGGAAGTATAAGATGGCCGTTTCGTCAGAGTATGGGCTTCCTCAGTAGTGCGCGTCACCGATCACATTCGTAGGAGTCGAACCCAGCACCTTCGGTCTTGAGTACGAACACTTTACCTCTAGACCACTCAGCTGGCATTCGACGGTGTTAATGTCTAACTTTAACCAATCCACAAAGGTGCACCGCCGAAGGCTCTGAGTTCGAATCCAGCGTGCGGGATCGTGAATGTGCACTGATGAGGAATCCTATACTAGGAGAAAACGGTTGTCTAATGATTCCAGATTTCCCATGGTGATCTAGCTTCAATCGACTAATGAATTCAACTATTTGAATAATTATCGAATACCTATTTCTTTTACGATAGCAGTCTTGACTAGATACTTATCAATAATCCTCAATACAAGTAAACTGACCAAATAACCATTTCATTGACAGCACATTTAAACCGATCCACACTTACCATCATTGGATATTGCATAATTGCTGGATAGCTCACTTTTCTTATTAATTGTATGTGTAATCATTGAAGAATGATTACGTAATTGGCAAATCGTTTTAATTGTTTTAATTAATTCATTGGCTAATATTAAAATGAATTTTTCTAAATGATCAATTCTATCATTCTTTAAATAAAAAACAAAAAAAAACAAACTACAAATAAGTAGTATATATAGTTCAATAGTAGTAAAGATTCTAGTTATCCGGTTGTTAATATTACCGACAGAATTTCTTAGTTTTTGATGTTGGTTTGTTCTCTGAGCTGGAATTTCTTAGTATATGTATATTGTCGGGGGATTGCTTTGATCTTGTCATATCCCGAAGAGAATTGTGAATGGTAACTTTTCAGAACTATTTGTGGACCAATACGATACGTATCTTTTTATTGTGTATTCATTCATATGCATGTACCCATAGACTATTATCATACGATTTATCATTCTTGAGTTATGCCCAGTCTCCACATTCACAGTCACTTTCGGTTAGATCTTGTACAAATGTTATTCTCTATTTTATGCTGAGATGTGATCTGTTTGGTTTGTATATAAACCCAGTATGTTTGAAATACATGATTTATATGATGGAGGCTGAGATTGGTGTTCTGGACTTAACTGACTGGGCTAGACAGATAGAAGAACCGAATACTCGTACGAGTATCGTATATCATTGGTCTGACCGACAAATCACTGTTCTCCAAGTAGCAAGAATCATCATATAATAAACAGGCTATTAGGTCACACGATATAACAATAATAGAATGATCAGAAGGTGTTTTGTGGAGATTTCAGTATTTTCATAGTTGAAATCATGAGTCAATTTGAAGCTAGACCACCATGAAAAACCTGGAAGCACTGGACAGCCGTTTTGTTCTATTGCGGAATTCCTCAGTGGCCGTTCGTATCCACGATCTCGCCTCACAAGATTCGTACGCAGCACCTACCAGTCTTGCGCCAGAACACTTCCAAGTTTTCCTTGACGGTCTAACTTCAATGGACTCATCATTTCAACTATGAAAATAATAGAGTAATCGGCGAGACTATAATTTATGGACGACCTTTGAATGAATCTTAAATTACCTTGAGAAATGTTAGCCAATCAATAAACAGTCAGCATAGAGTAAAAATATATTACACAAAACCAAAGAATTAAAGTGGATATACTTCTTTTATATGGTCCAAAAACTTGTCAATGTTAGAAAAAGGTTCAAAGATTCCAAAATCGTAATGCATAAGGTAGAGGAACTCATCCATACGGCTCCATAATAGTTGGTCTCTGGAACCATGATAAGGTGACAAAAACCCTCTCAGCCTTGACTACATAGCATTATTATTGTTTGTGTGTAGTCCGGTTGTGTAAGTTTATCATTTTTATTATGAATATGTCCCTACAACGGTCATACCACTGCAAAGCCGAAGCTTCAGTAACATCTGCGATTAATGCAGACAATGTTACTTGTGCTTTTATTATACAGTTGACTGCAATTATTATAATATGTCTTATTATCAATCTGGATCGAGTGATAAAGGTTCTTATTCTAGCAAACGTCTTCCTTCAATATATATTACATCGAAAGACAACATCACGGTAGTCTGAACCAATTCTACAATTCATTTAATACTCGTAATTACAAATACAGGAACTTCTTAGTAGTTTCATTTGTTGTAGTTGCTTAATTGTTAAGTCTTCTCTAAAATTCTCTGTACATGAGCTTTAGGTAATGAAATTGGCGCCATGACCTTGAAATCCCTCAAACGCATCTGATTGGCTTGTCCATAAATTATAGTCTCACCGAGTGATCATATACATATACATATAAATATACATTACTTACAGCACAGATACGATTAAATTTCTTAGTTTGTTTTATTGTATTATTCTCTCTTGTTTCTATGGAAACATTTTCATTTTTAGATTTTTGTAAATTTAAAAAATTCCCTTTTAATTGATTTAATTCATTTATTAAATGATTATGGGATTGTTTTAATAAATGAAAATTTTCTAGAATATTCTTTTTTTCATTTATTAAGGTAATTAGCTGAATATGTTGACTTTGTTTAGTTTGTTTTAATTGTAATTCAGATAATTTCAAAGTTTCATTCATTTTTTGTTTAGTTAACTAAAAGAAAACCATTAAAAAAAAAAAGGTGTGATTATAATTGGTGGATAAGGTTTGAATGATGTTGAAGTGACTTTGAAAATGGTCACCTAGTTACTTACGCTTAGTAGCCCTAGTGGAGGAGTATAAGTCCAAAATCACCATTCTTTCCTATTCAACCCTGTCATGGGCAATCTTTTCCAGTTCCTTCTAGTTAACATTCATCCTTTTCATATGTGCTTCTGTTTCTCGGCGTAATGTGTTCTATGCCCTTCCTCTTTTTCACTTTACTTTCGGAGTTCAAGTTAGGGCTTGCTTCATGATGTAGTTTGATGATTTCCTCAATGTATGTCGTATACAATGTCCAATGTCTTTTCCTAATTTCTTTTTCAGTTGGAAGCTCGTTTGGAATTAGATTTAGGGTTTTCATTATGAATTGACACACGTTGAAATGTCAAGAACTTTATTTAATGAAATGAATAGAGCGCCAAAATTAGAAATCTATTATCTTATATCTGATTGGTTTATACATAAATTATAATTTCATCGAAGGTATTATATTGCATTCAATCATTGAATAGAATTCATAAAGGTGATAGATCAATGAAGATATTTCAATGGTATTAATCTACATGGCAACTAGTCAACTACTGAAAAACCACGAAGCATTAGATAATTGATTCATTCAAGCTTGTGACTGCCAAGTAATGATAACTTGCAAGGAACAGAAGTATTAACTTACAAGGTTTGTATTAAGAGTGATATTTACCCTTGGCTTCAAGTATCTGAACTCAGTTAATTCTCAGCAGTTTCACGATCTAAATAAATTCCGATATGATTGAACACTACAGAACATTTGTTGATTTGCTTTGATGTTTGTTGTACACGTAGTATAAATAAACCAGTATAAGTCGTTTAGTGATTAACGTTTTCATTTTTGACTAATCATGTTACTAAATAATTAATACTTCCTTGTCTGAATAACTTGTATAAACATTATAGATTGATTGTTGATCTTATCTTGTGAACACTATTCAGTTTTATAAGCAAAGATGGATAATAGCTAGCAGTGAAATCCAGGACTCGTACCACTTCAACCTATTCAGGACTCGTCAGCTGGATGTATCTGCATCTCAGAGATGGTGTTCACTCTGTGACTCAAACCAAGTGGATGATTTTCATGAAGTTTTGTTCTCTGAGCTAGATGGTTTGGTCGTGGGGCTTTTTTATAGTTTTTTCCGAACGACATCATCAAGTCAATAAGAACCAATCAACATCGAGGTGTACAGGACAAGTTGTGAACCACATGTGGAGAAATTTTAATACTTCACTTCTACCTGAAGTTTGTGCAAATGATGTCGTTCAGAAGGACGATGAAAGCTTCACGATCAAATCATCCAGCTCAGAAAACAAAACTCCATCAAAACTCAAACCCAGTACCGTTCGCTTCAAACTCCATAGCGTTTTTCACTCAGTTACTGAGTCCTGATAGCCACTCAATCTATTACCATTATATAATTTATAAATGGACTTACTAAATCATTTCGAAGATCTGTTTGTTCAGCAAGAACACATTGAAGACGTATCCTTAATTCTTCAATATAATGACGTCGACGTTTTGTTTCATTCTCAAGTGTAATAATTTTATTCTTCATGTTTATATGTTCAATTCGTTTACGATTTATAGCTTCTTGTACTTGATGAATAATGTCATCCGAGAATTCTTTTATGAGTTTCTACAAAAGTGCATGTAAATGAAAGGCGAATGATGAATCATTGGTGAGATTATTGAGCGGCCTATGCTCCTCCACAAGGAGCAACAGGCGTAAGTAAAGTAAGTAAAAAAATTGTTGAGATTATAATTTACAGACCATCTATGATAGAATCTTCCGAAATATCAGCCAATCAGAGAGTAATGAATATAGAAGATTGATCTATTACAGAAAACTAACAAAATTATGATGGATACACAACTTCAATAGGACCCAGAAACTTCTGGAAGTTAGAGATAGGTTTTGAAATTCAGGCATCATAATGAATACAGGACAGAATCTCATCCAAGCCACTCCACAACAATCGACCTCTGGAACCATCATAATGTCATAGAAAAATGATTTTGGTCTCAATCACTCCCCTTCTATGTTGTTCGTGAAGATAAACACTGTGTAAACTACAAAGCGTCTTTCGTGAACGATAAGATTATGAACATAGATAAATGCATAAAGTCCAGTATTATAGTGGTACCTGGTTGAACATACTCCTTTATAACCGACACTAACGTTATTATCCTGCAGTTTCTGATGTTTTAGAAATGTCCCTTCTGTAATGTCCTATCACGTATATCGAAGACCTGTCAAGTAGATTTAAAAAAACTGTTGCTTACCCACTCTTCTTCTATACTTCATCCTCTACTAAAAATCTAGTTTTCTGGATGACCGTTTCATTGATTTCCACTTTCCCTCTGATTGCTATGAACGATAGATTTGGATTTATCATCTTTATGTCGGATGTATCTTTGCAATACTCATACCACTGGATAAATGAAGCATCAGTAACATTGCAGCCAGTGTTATTACCTTTTTCATGATCCAATTTATAAGAATCAGCATAATTTGCCCTAATGGTGATCGGGAACAAGCAGAAAATGCTTCCATTCTTGCAGATTTCTTTTTTCAGCACACATTGCATTAAAATACTGCATAATCGCGGTAGCCCGTGTACTGCCATACCGTCATTTGAAATTCGCAATCACAAACAATGGAACTTTCCGAAAATTCCTGTTGTTATAAATAGCTTTGTAACCAGCGATAAACTGATAGCAGGTACGGATTTACATTCATATATCCACTGTAACCTTAAGTTCGATCATTCGATTCTGATTCACTCGTCCATTTAATAAAATCACGCAATTCTCTCACTCAAGATATAATCTGCTTGCTATACTACGCGACTCAATGATGACCAAACAGCATGGCTAGTGTTATGGAATATTAGAAGTAATATATTCAGCACCAAATCTCATCGATTTCCTTGACCTTTTACCGTTAGGTATTTCACTTTCGATTGCTGTACATACTACTTATTTCTGTAGACATCAGTAGCACACATCACACTCGTCCGTCATCCCCTTTAAAGCAGTCGTTCTTGCAATGGTTACGTCCACAACAAATACATGTATGTAGAGAAGATTCATTCTAAAATTAGCTTACACCATAGACAAGTGTATTCCGTTAATCAGCCAATAAAAATTATGCTTCTCTAGTAGAATTTTCTCTATCAACAATGTAAACTCATGAACCCTAAAATAGATTATATCTGTTTATATTTTTTTATTGTATAATATGAAGAGAAAGATAAAGGTTCCCGAATGCCCTGGTACGGCCGAGAGTGGGGAGAGTTCGCTCTTCCTCTCCAAATGCTCTCACATGGCCATGAGTATATAGCCTCTAACAGGGAAGTCCTACTCACTGCCTTCTCGCATCACGGGTAATGTTTACGAAATTGACATAATGAAAAGCGAATGTCCGGCGCTTTAACCAGGTTGGTGGACACGCCAAGTCCACCCAGGGGAGTTGGAAAACCACGATTCCAAACCAATGGTGCACATGGGCTCCAGTATCCTGAGAGAACAAATGGCACATGAATCAATCGTTGGTCACCGGCTACTATGGGACTGCATCTCCATTATATGCTCCACTGCCTTGTGGATCAAACCTTTAGGTCAAAGGCTCCGGGTGTGACCTAAGAAAACCACCTGCTTCAGTTTTGGCACCAGGGCAGTATCACAGCCCTCACACAAATCTCATTTGATTTGTGTGGCGCATATATATCTTGTGCTTCTATGTACCAATATTTATGTGTTTAAATAAAAATAAAAAATTGAAATATATTTAAGTAGAGAGTATAAAACACCATCATCCAAAAGATACATGTGTTTATTAACAGTTGTCTACGCGATATACTTCGGATCTGTTGGCCAGAAACTATCAGCAACAAACTACTGCGGAAGAGAACAAACCAGATTCCAGTGGAAGAGGAAATCAGGAAGGTGAGCTGGAAGTGAATAGGACACACATTGAGGAAATCACTCAACTGCGTCACAAGGCAAGCCCTCATTACATGGAATTTTCAAGGCCAAAGCAGTAGAGGAAGACCAAAGAACACATTATGTCGAGTAACGAAAACAGATATGAGAATAATGAACAAAAACTGGACAGAACTAGAAAAGAAAGCCCAGGACAGAGTGTGTTGGAGCATGCTGGTCGGCGACCTATGCTCCATTGGAAGTAACAGGCGTAAGTATGTAAAAGTAAGTAATCATAGATGCATGAAGCCACGACTATACAGTTGGATAGAACTAGAAGGGAAGGTGTAGGACAGAGTGGGTTGGAGAATGCTGATCAGTGGCCTATGCTCCATTGGAAGCAACAGGCATAAGTAAATAAGTAAGTATACAACACATTCTAACTCACTTTAGAATTAATATTGTCTAATGTTGATGATGTGTTATTTACAGATTGATGAACAGTTGTGATTTGATTATTTTCCATATTCAATTGTTTAATAGTATCTTGCAGTTTGATTAAATGCATTTTAATACTCTGAAAATTAAAAGAAAATATATGTAGATATAGATGGATTCTGCTGATAGATTTTTTTAACTTCAATCTGACATATACTACTTAATAAACTTACTTACGTCTGTTACCCCTCGTGGAGGGGCATAGGCCACACACCAGTATGCTCCATCCAACGCTGTCCTGAGCAACTACTTGATAAAGCTATTACTATAATCGGTACTTTTATTCATTTGAAAAGTTTCTTTTAAATGTCTAGCACACTTAAAACACACTGATTAAAGTTCAATTGGTGTTGTTTTCTTGTATCTTCCCATTGTTGTTTAGGACTGCAATTGATCACTCTCTTATTGGCATATATGCATCGTATATGGATTTCTTCGATATTACCTGAAGTCACAAGCATTATAAGCAAAGATGGATAGGGGCTAGCAGTGGAATCCAGGACTCATGTTTCGTCTTATGTGAGACTAGTCAACTGGATGTACCTACATCTCAAAATTGACGTCCACTCTGGGACTCGAACCCAGTACCTTTCGCTTCAAACATCATCACGTTATCCATTCAGCTATTGAGTCCTCATAGTCACTTGCTTGGCTTGGTATTGTTTGTTTGAATCTTCCCATTGGTGTTTAGGACTACTATTGATCAGTCTTTTATTGGCTCAATATTGCTCAATATCATTGTGAAATAAATGTAATGTATTGGTTTACTATGTTATTGACTAGATTACATAATTTTGAATACATATATCTAGATCCATTATTCTCAGAGTATAGTTAGATTTACTTTCAACTTGAGAAATGAAGAAACCAACTAACTATTGGAATGATATCAATTTTAATTAGAAGTGAATTGATTGGGTATGTCACACATTAACGATCCAATCAGACATAGAAAGTGAACCTGTAAAATGTTCATTGAATATCAATCTAACATTCGAAAAAGAAAAGCTATTTCCATAGTTGAAAGCGTGAGTCATTTGAAGCTAGACCATCATGGAAAACCTGGAAGCACTGGACGGCCGTTTCATTTTATTATGGGACTCCGCAGCAGTGCGAATCCACGATCCCACACTAACACTTTCAACTATGGGAATACTAAATCTCCGCAAAACTGATTCTGATAAGAAAAGCTATTATTGATGTTCTGAACATAACTGACTGGTCTAGTTAGATAGCAGAATCGATAAGTACTCTAGACTGCTCGTATGGGTTCCATATGTACCGATCGATAAATCACTGCTCTCTAATAGGCGGGTACAAGTCATAACATTAACTATGACAGTGAATAGTACAGAAATTATTGAAACAATTATTTACTTACATTCTTTTAGCTATAAATGTTATACTCCTTTGGAGATTTATGAATGGTAACTTACTAAGTAACTAAACTATTCATATTCATGTCCCTCTCATTATAGGCTTTATTTCGACCCATAGACTGTTACTATACGATCTGTTACTACGATTTGAGTTATCCTCAGCCTATTAATTACTGTCCCCCTTTATTCACAGCCACATTTCACCAAATCTTATACAAATTTTATTTTCTATTTTATGGTACGATGTAGTCTATTTGGTGGGTATATAAACCCAGTATGTTTGAGAATAATGATTCATATTGCAGAAGCTCTATATTGGTGTTCTGGATATAACTGGCTGGGTTAGGCAGATAGCACGACTGATAAGTACCCAAAACTGCTCATATGACTTTCTGGTATCATTGCTCTGATCGATAATTCACTCCTCTCTAATTAGAGGGAATCAGCACGTTCATATATTAACAAGCGACGCACTCGATCAATATAACAATAAACATACTTCTTTCATAAAAAAGAAATTTCATTAGAAAAATGAATAACACTCATTTGCTTACCTCAATTGTACGTTTAGCTTGTATATTTTGTTTACGACTTCTATGTAACATACTACTTAATGATTCAACTACATTGTTGAGTTCTTGATTTGATTGTTCTGCTGTTATCTTCAATTTACGCATAACTTGATACTTTATAATATATAATGAATTATGAAAAGTTTATTATAAGTAGTATATATGTTTTCATAGTAAACTTTGATTATAAATATAATAATAAAATGATTGAGATTATATAGTTGAGATCATGAGTTAGTTGAAGTTACAACACCATGGAAATCCTAGAAGCACTGGACGGCTGAGGAGTCCCATAATAGGACGAAATGGCCATCTAGTGCTTCCAGGTTTTCCATGGTGGTCTAGCTTCAATTGATTCATGATCTCAACTATATATAATTACTAAAATCTCCACAAAACCCGCTTTTGATAATGATTGAGATTAGTTTTTTTCGTTTACTATTTTACTGGGTAGCGTTTTATTAGCGAGTTAGTTTTCTACGGGATGGTGGTTGCTAACCTTAGGCCCAACCCTCCTCCTTTACCCGGGCTTGGGACCGGCAGTAACTTTGAAGAGCTACAGGCGAAGTTTTATTTATGTTAACTATTTATAATTTATTGTATTCTACGATCTAATTTGGTTAGTAGTACATACTTTCTAATATTAACCCTCACAACTATGAAGAAAAAGAAGAAAGCTTATGCACATAACTCTTATGTATAGAATATGTGTAGGAGATGAGCATGACCAAAAGAATAAAGGTCGAATCTACAATGCATTAGTGAGAACAGTTTTGCTTTATGCTTGTGAAACCTGAACTCTCCAAGTTGAGGATGCTAGACGATTCTCTATGTTTGTTGATCATTGTCTCCAAAGGATTACTGACATTCATTGATAAAATTATACAAATATCGATCATCAGTATTAAATTTATCAGTCACCATTGAGGAATGAATTGTTACCACAAACACTTTGGTCTACTAATACACAAACCTAGCCTTTGACCTGAACGTCTAATCAACAAGACAGTGAAGCAACGTTAGGAGATGCAGTACCATGATAGCCGGTGACTAACAATTGGTTCATACGCCATTTGTTCCTTCAGGATCCTCTGGCCCATGTACACCATTGGTTTACAATCAGGGTTTTCCAAATCCATTCGGTGGATCCTCAATATCCATCAAGCTTACTAAAGCACCGGACATTCGCTTTTCGTCATCTCAATTTCACAATAATCAGTAATGCCACCAGAAGACACTGAGTAGAACTTTTCTGGCAGAGGCTGTATACGTGTGGACATTTGGAGAGTGAGCTGACTCTATCCACTCTCGGCTGTACTAGGGCATTTGGAGGTCTAGATCCAACAACGACTAATTATCTCAATTCTAAATATTCCATTCAAATATCAGTGTAAAGATTAACTATAGGAACCAAAAATCGTCGATTTCACATGTCCCGGATAAGATAAAAACACCTATTGTGGATTTCATTATTATCCACTAAGTTCGATTAAAATAACCTATCAAAGTATCTATGATATAAATAAATCTCATACCTGTTGTAATAAAGAATTATTACGTTGACTCAATAATTCATAAGAACATTGAATTTCTGTTAGGTGGGGAAGTTTATTTTGTGCTTTAAGTAATTGAATAGCACGTTTCCTTGATCTATACATAAAAAAGAAACAAAGTTCAAAGATAGTTCTCATCACGAACTTAGAAAGGTAGGGAGTTAAAAGTGGGAATTAATTTAAAACTGATTGTTGCCATGCCTCTCAACAGGGCAGCACAACATGTAGAACCCGAGAAGTTTTAACAGTTAAATTTCACTGTGAATTCCATCTATACTGAAGTGATCATGAAATTTATGAATTTGAGTTATGCGTATGTAATCTTGAACTGTTACAAACTAATAAGAAACAATCATTCAGTGTTCTCTAACCTGACATTATCTCTTCAATAGATATCAGCCTGTAATGGAAATCATCTTCATATTTACCACAAGTCACTAAAATGAAAACAATATAGTCACTGAAATTTCTTTCAGTAGTATTCAGTAATTATGGAAGCCAAATTGATTCAGTAAAGAAACAATTTCAAACGTTATAAAGTTTTAATTACATGTGAGGACTGCTTTTGATGATGATGATGATGATGATGATGATGATGATGATGATGATGATGATGATGATGATGATGATGATGATGATGATGATGATGATGATGATGATGATGATGATGATGATGATGATGATGATGATGATGATGATGATGATGATGATGATGATGATGATGATGATGATGATGATGATGATGATGATGATGATGATGATGATGATGATGATGATGATGATGATGATGATGATGATGATGATGATGATGATGATGATGATGATATGACTACTTTCAAGTTACAAAATTAGTTAGATTTACTTTTTGTCGTGAATTTGCTGGCGATAATAATGAAATACCAAACAATGCTTCACAACTACTTTCAAGTTCGTTCAATATTTCTAAGCACCCAATACACCCAGGAGTTTTTAATAACATGATGTGTCTCAGAAATTACGACATATACATTTTTAGACCAGTGACTAGGAGCTTAAAAGTTCTTATGTTCAACGTCACTACTCATCTCTTTGTATCATGCGATTATTAGCAAAGATTACTAGTTAAGTAGAATCAAAAAGAAACAAACTAATATATCAGTGATCTAGTAGTTAATCGCTCGCGCGCGAAACTGATAGGTCCTGGGTTTGAATCTCGCAAGGCGAAATTATAGATGCGTACTGCTGAAGAACCACACACTGGGACGAAACGGCCATCTAATGCTTCCAGGTTTTCCATGGTGCTCCAGCTTTAATTAACTGATGAATTCAACTATTAAATTACTAGATTACTAAAATTCCCTTCTGATAATTTTCAAAAATAAACATTGAACATAAAAGAATTGAACATTGAATAAATTCACTTACTTTATTAAGCTTGTTTTATAATTATTGATCAATTTTAATTTTGGCTCATTATTTAAATTTTGTTTCATTATTAATTCAGAAGATGTGGCATCGGATTGATTATTATCATCATGATTTAATGTCATCAATTGATTAACATTTTTTCTTGGATCCTCTACATCTTGACATTGATTACAATCACTAAGGTGATTAAAATCCTGTTGGATTTCCCTCTTAGTCCTATAATTCAACTTGAATTTACGTCTTGAATGATATTTCAATTTTTTCAAAGGAACAAGTATATTCAATGATGATCTATGATAGAGAAGTGATAAGAATAGAATTAAAAAAAATAGGAAGTGATAAAAAAGATCAATCTCTCATTGGTATATGTGCATACTGTACGTATAACCTCGATGAAGCTTTAATTCACAAGAATTATGAGCAAAGATGGATAACGTGATGGCGTATGAAGAGAACAGTACTGGGTTTGAGTCTCAGCGTGAACATCAACTAACTCTGAGATGCAGGTACATCCAGCTGACGAGTTCCGAATAGGATGAAGTGGCGCGCGTCTTGGATTTCTCTGTTAGCCACTATCCATCTTTGCTGATAAGAAAAATTTATATCTTAAATGGATAGTTTTGATCTTGATTACGTTCTATAACGATTATGGAATAAGTATGGAAGGTCTCATTGATATTCTAGACGAAATGATCAATGTAACAGTAATAATGTAGTGAACAGAACACGACTAGGGACAATCGAATGTACTTAAGCACAAAATTATAGACTATCTCAATAAATTCTAATAACCATACAATGGACAGTTAATTTGAAAATTAACAACCAATAATCTCGATCTTCCTTGTTTCTTCTCTAATTCCATTGTTTGTGTATTTTCCTACCGATTGCGCTTCGTTTCAATTCTTTCCTCATCGGTCTTCTGACAAAATACATTCTACACCATATATTACTTATATAGATATAAGTAGACCACACCACAATAGTAATAGTATTAGTAGTATTGAACAACCAATGAGCTTTTGTTATTCATGCTTTATTACAGTTGATTACATAATCAAGTTCATTACATTCATTGATTCAAAAACTATCTTGATTGAGTGTAATGCTTGTTTTAATACGTACATCTATATAAAGTTCGTTTAAAATTGAAATAAAACTATTCTTGTCCTTCATAGTTTAAATCACAATCTAATCTTAGTTAGACCGATATTGAAGAACTGAAAGGACTAGTTGGCCATTTCGTTGTAATATAGGACTCCTCAGTGGTTAACGTCCAGTACATCAGGAAATCAAACCTAGGATATTTTTTCGCTCGGAAGAATGCTTAACCTCTGGATCACTGAGCTAGTATATATTGATGTACATACCTAAATCACCATTTTTCATTGACTGTATTGGATAACTGTCTCATAATTTATATGGTCAAGCTTTATTGGTCACAGATTCTCACTAGGACACTATGAATGTCATCTTGAATCTAGTCATAAGCAAGGAAACGTTTGTGAAGATTACAGTGCTTCTAGGTACTTAATGATGATCTATATAAGATCAGTTCATGATTTAAATAATGAAATTTCTAAAAACTCCAGAAATCCGTCCATGCTAATAATAGTCTTCTTCGTTTAGATCCCACATAAACAACTAGACTAAAAGCTTTCTACAACAAATTTGTTAGTGAATAAACCTAAGACGAAGAGTTAACAATTTGTCTGTATTGTGTTTGTCACACAGTGATCTCACTTTATGTACCATGAAGATATAGGAAACAATGGATAACAATAACTGTCACTCCTCAGTATGGGAATTCTTGATAGGGCACACCAAAATTCACATCAGGTATATAAACCATGACCTTTAGGTCTTGTGGTCAACCCCTAACCATTAAAATAACTCGGTCGATGTCCAGTAATGTTCAATCAATTTGTGGTACAGTCTGAGGATTATTCAATATCATAGTAACATCTTTTCTACTGCTGACATGAATGAATCGCACAAATAACTACTTCTCAACAAAACCCCGGGGAAATCAAAATGTGAGTCACTTGTAAGCTGATAATCGTAGTTCGAAACAAGAGAGGTTGTATTCATCACAAGTTAAACGACTTCCAAAAAGAAACCCTTTAACAACTAAGTCATCTATATTTTTAAAAAAAATAAAACTCAAACTTACTTTAACCAGGATATTTTATGATGTTGAACTGAACTATGCTTCGATTTCATGTATTTAAGTCTAGCTGAAAGTAAACGACAATGATCTTCCAATTTTCTAAAATAAATTATTTTTAAAAATAATCAGTATAAGGTTGTGAAGATTGTTGAGTTTAGATTGATATCATAAATGGATCGATGTTAGACCACCAATGAAAACCTGGGAGCATTGGATGGTCATTTCGTCCTAGTGTGGGTCTCCCCAGAAGTCAGCATTCACGAACTCGTAGGCAGGTTCGAGTCCCAGGGTTCTAGTGAGAAGCCTTAACCAGTGAAATTCAACTATGTCTATTATGAGAGAGTTACACACTAAGCACAATATTAGAGGGTCGCACAATATCATGGATTGGTTGAAGTTAGATATTAACACCCTTGAGTGGTGGCTCAGTGATCTCAGCGTTAAGCGTTCGCTCACCAGCCCAATAGGTCCTGGGGTTAGAACTCGAAAACTTTAAGTCTTTTGATGAGTCCTTAACCATAATAAGATCACTGGATACATATTACAAAAGTCAATCACTTAAGTCTGACGTTAATTCCTTGAAGGAGTTGTAAGTGTGACTGATACTTCCCAACTTCTAATAATAGTAATAATATCCTAACTAAACTCATTCTGTCAAAGAAAACTCAAATATACGTACAACCACTCAACACTTCAATCCATTTCATTAAAACATTCATTTTACCTACTTTTGTTTTTCTTCCCAGAATGAATTCATTTCATTTAGTTGACATTTCAATTGTTCATTTTCATGTTGAATACTTGACCACTAAAAAGAAATAGGTGGAGAAGTGTCATGAACTTGTCAAACAAAAGTATTATTCACTTGGTTACAAAATGTTTCCCTTTTACTTTATTTTATAAAGTTATGATATGAAGGGGTATAGCAACTGATTGTTGCAGTGTGGAAGTGCCGGGCATAGATCCCAGGCTCTCTGGCATGCTAAGTGAGTGCTCTATCACTGAGCTTAATGCATATATCGTTTTAGTGAATATACAACATTTCGCAGATGACCTAGCTCGTCTATCCTATACTCAATAGCAAATGTATGTGAAAATAGCCATTTTAGCTACAGTCTTTAAAGTGATTAGCCTCAGCATATACAAGAAAAAAGGCAACATTCTCAAATATAACACGAAGACCACTAGTACAATTACATTTGATGGAGAAACTCTGGAACAGGTAGAATCTTTCATGTATCTGGGAAGCATCATAGATGAACAAGGAGGATCCGATGCAGAGCAAAGACATATATGGACACATATGGAACTCAAAACAGCTGTCTGTCAACCAATATCAAAGTCACAATCTTCAATATGAACAATTTTCTATACAAGATACTAAATGTTCGTTGACCAGACACCGTCAGGAACAACCAACTATGAGAGAGAACAAGTCGGCTTCCAACTAAAGAGTAAATTGAGAAAAGATGCTGGAGGTGCATAGGACACACATTACAGAAATCAACAAAATGAATTACGTGACAATCCCTAATTTGGAATCCTGAAAAGAAACAGAAAAGAAAAAAGCTAAAGAACATATTCCGTCAGGAATTGGAGGTAGGCATTAAAAGAATGAATATCACTTGGCTATGACTAAAAAAGAGAGCTGTGGATAGAGTTATTTGAAGGATCCTACTGGGCGTCCTATGCTCCACGAAGGAGTAACAGACATAAATAAATAAGTAACAATATTTCTCAACTAGAATCAACATCACGTACATTCAACACCATTTTGAAAGGAGGAATTTATTAATCAAGATATTAAATCATGTTAAACATGAGAACAAATTGTCAATTTCTCAGGTTGAACAGATCACCCAAGTGAGATAAATGACAATGAACAAATGACTGAAGCAAAGATTGAAAACTCTGTCCTCTACATAGTTAGACGCAAATTGAAAATAAATAGCAAATGTTTACTATGGTAATATCGATCAACAAGGACTGACTTTCAACCTTGTAATATGAACAATGTAGTTATCTTGTAAATGATGACTTATTCTAAACTCAGCTGTTTTTCTTTATTTGAATAAAACACTATCTAATAATCATCAGTAGTATAAGTTAGTTATATAGTTGAAATCAATTGGAGCTAGACCATCATAGAAAACCTGGAAACACTGGACGGCCGTGTCGTCCTATTGTGGGACTCCTCAGCAGTGTACATCCACGATCCCGCCTTGCAAGATTCCAACTCAGGATCTATCAGTCTCGTGCAAGAGCGATTAACCTTTAGACCACTGAGACAAAACGGCCATCCAGTGCTTCCAGGTTTTCCATGGTAGTTTAGCTTTAATTGACTCATGATTTCAACTATAAAATTATTAAAATCTCCACAAAACCCCCCTTCTTCCGGATTTACTTTCAAGAGTTTTTTACGACTCCATTTTTTCACAATTTAATGATCTTTAAGAATCGGTATATGGAGAATTAATTTCACGATTAAACTATTCAGTTTAAAGAATGAAACTTCATCAAAAGTATTTAGCCGAGCTACTTATATTCTCTCCATCATGTCAACATGAATTATATTTTAATTGACTCAAAGTATGTACGGCTAACAACAATCTAAGCAGTCAAATCATAACCTCTCTTAATTGACTGCTAGTTGAGATGAACTTCAGTCTATGTGAGAGCGATAATCTGCCTTAACTGTACAGGTTTCAACTATTCTGTCCTAGTTAATCTCAACATTTTTTTAAAAAAATGCTGAATATAATAATAACTACCGGCTAACTTTAGCGGTGAGACCATAATTGAAGGACGATCTTTCAGAGACGCTAAAGTAATCTTGAGAGTGTTCACCTAATAACTAGGATCAATTATGGGTTATAAACCAGTGTGAGAAATTAGAATTATGATTTACAGTTAATGATTATGGTTAAGAATTAGATTTAGGGTTTTTCATCACGAACTGACATCAACTATAATGCCAAAATTTTATTTAACCATAATAGATGAATGAATTTTGCGCCAAAATTCAAGACCTGTTATCTTATACCTGATTAGTACATCCATAAATTATAATCATGCCACTTTAGGTACTAGATGTTCGATTCACATTATCCAGATATTCATTTATTTTGTTCATATGTTGAATATCAAGTTTATCACATTTGAAAAGAAACAAAACTAAATTATATGATATTAAATATTCATTAGTGAAAGATTAATATGAACAGGTCTAAATAGCTAAGTAGATAATATGATGGCGTTTAAAGCGAATAGTGCTGGGTTCGAATGCCAGAGTGAACATGAACTCGGAGATGCAAGTATATTCAGATGACGAGTCCCAAATAAGACGTAATGGTGTGCATCCTGGATTCCACTGCTAGCCACTATCCATTTTTGCTTATAAAGCTTATGATTTTAGGCAATATCAAGGCAGTCCGCATAGAATGCACATATGCCAACAAGAGATTGATCTAGTTGCAGTCCAAAATAACAATGGGAAAATACATGTAAACAACAGCAAGTGAAAAACTTGAAGTAACCTTCTTAAAAAGTGAAATCCAAAAGGGTATGTAGCGTAAAACTCAGCAAAATACAGTATATTAGATAATAATCAAATTTATTTTACCTTCGATAAAATATCATTATTGAACTTATCTAAAATATAAAAGAAAGAGCATTAGTTCATTTAACGAATAAATATTACTAACAGAAGGGGTTTTTTGTGGATATTGCAGTAATTTCAATAGTTGAGATCATGAGTCAACTGCAGCTAGACAACCATGGAAAATTTTGAAGCACTCGACGACCGTTTCGTCTTATTATGGGACTCCTCAGCAGTACGCATCCACGATCCTGCATCGTGCGATTCGAACCCAGGAGATATCAGTGTCACGCGAGAGCGCTTAACCTCTAGACCACTGAAACGCGCTAGTGTGAAATGTATTGTAGTGAACAAGAAGATGATTGGGGTCATCTGAATGTACTTGACAAGTAAATTACAGACTATCTCAGTAAAATTTGACAACCATACAGTAAACAGTTAATTTACAAAATTACAATCAATCTTGACTATTCTTTCTGCAAATATCAGTCCATCGTATCCAATTATTATTGTTCATGCATTTTTGTACCAATCGTTTCTTGTTCCCCTTCTCTTCTTCTTGATTTTCTACTGAAATACACTCAATGCCCGACCATTGGTATATACTACTTGATTTCTGTGAATCTGTCACTGAGATAACTAATGATATGCTTATCAGTAAGAGTAGCTTTGAATTAGCTTTAAAACCTTGATGGTCTTTGATAAAGTAGTATCTATTCTTCCCCTACCTGTTTAATCTAGAACACTATGATCGATCTCCGTTATATGCATAATGTATATCAAAAATATATAGTTTATATACAAGCAAAGCAGATAGCATGGAATCATAAAGTGGGCTAATAACAGTCATACAGAATTGACAAATCAAGTTACCATTCATATAGTCTTCTTTGAATGTAATAGGTCTTACTTCGGTTAACATTATACTCAAATCAGAGAGAACAAATTCAGTTACTGAGTGAAAAAAAAGCAACCAGAATTCACTTAGTATTATTTGTTTGAATCTTCCCATTGATGTATTAGGACTGCAACTGGTCAGTCTCTTATTGGCATATGTGCATACTGTGTGTATTGCCTCGATATACCCTGAAATCACAAGCATGGTAAGCAAAGATGGGTTCGAGTCCCAGAGTGAATATTAATTCTGAGATGCAGGTACATCCAGATGACGAGTCCCAAATAGGCCCAAACGCACGTCCTGGATTCCACTGCTAGTCACTATCCATCTTTATTATTCAGAAATTTATCATAACTGATCATTCACTGACCGATGTAGTTCATCTATCAAATAGAAATACTTTTATTGACATGTGTTGACTGTAGAGGTTTTTATTAAAAATCATTTCGTTTTACATATTATATCACCAACTGATCTTAGTTGAACATTCATGAGAAACGAAGAAGCACTGGATAGCTACTTTTTCATAGTATTGAACTATACATCAATTTTCATGCACAAACCAAAAGCAAGTTGAATCTAAGATCTTCAAATCCGATAGCAGGCGTCCAATCTCCAGTTCTTATTTTTATCATTTATTTAAACACATAAATATTGGTACATAGAAGCACAAGATATATATGCGCCACACAAATCAAATGAGATTTGTGTGAGGGCTGTGATACTGCCCTGGTGCCAAAACTGAAGCAGGTGGTTTTCTTAGGTCACACCCGGAGCCTTTGACCTAAAGGTCTGATCCACAAGGCAGTGGAGCATATAATGGAGATGCAGTCCCATAGTAGCCGGTGACCAACGATTGATTCATGCGCCATTTGTTCTCTCAGGATACTGGAGCCCATGTGCACCATTGGTTTGAAATCAGGGTTTCCCAACTCCCCTATGTGGCCTTTCCGTGTCCACCAACCTGGTTAAAGCGCCGGACATTCGCTTTTCGTCCTCTAACTTTCGTAAACAACAGTAATGCCACGAGAAGGCAGTGAGTAGGACTTCCCTGTTAGAGGCTATATACGCGTGGCTGTGTGGCAGCATTTCGAGAGGGATAGCGGACTCTCCTCACTCTCGGCCGTACCAGGGCATTTGGGGGTAAATTTCCAGTTCACTGAGAATACTATCGAAAATCATTTATAATTAAGCACATAAACCACTGGATAACAGTTCAATGGTCACGAGTTTAAGCGATCATCACAAACCCTTGAGGATTCGGTTTAGACTCCTGGTGGGGTCGTTGATAAATAGTGCTGAGGAGTCACATACTTGAACAAAATATCTCGTTTCTGGTTTCAATGTGTGTTTAACAAAGATCAATCTGTTACGTAATCCATAATATCCCTAATTTGGTGAGCACCATGTTGATACATGTAGGAATACGACAATTTAACTTTAAAGATAAACATGTAGACAGATAGTTTGAACGACTGATAGATGCTGAAATTTAAAAAAATGAAAATAGAGATCAAACGTGCTTTTTTTAAATGCTTCCTCTTTGCACATAGTATAATAAAAAAACGTTAGGGAACGTAAAAGCCCATCAACACATACTTGATTGACTATCGTCTGAACTGCCTAATCGACCGGTATATTTTGATTCAATCAGAGATTCGTTACGCCTGTAGAATTAGTAAGGTTAAATAATGTGAATAGGAAATGTGAATTTAATTGAGGATCAGTTGGCTAAATTGTCTTTAATTCATTCAATTTGTTAAAATTACTTAATCAGAAGAGTTGGAAAACCCTCATTCGAAACCGATAGTGCACATGAGCTGCAGGATCCTAAGGAAACAAATGACGTATGAACCTATTGTTAGTCATCGGCTACCATGGGACTGCATTTCCTAACGTTACTCCTCTGCCTTGTGAATTAGACCTTTAGATCAAAAGCTCGGGATGTGTTCCCCTAAGAAAACCACCTGCTTCGGTTTGCGAAACCGGATAATATCACAGCTCTCACACAAATCATTGATAACTACTACTGGCCTCATTGTTATTGTGTGGCACATATGTATTTGGTGCCTCCTTGTACCAATACTTGAGTGTTCAAATGAATCAACAAATCGTCAGTCATTAAAATCACTATGCACTATCTTACGATTCTTAACACATACAGAAAACAAGAACTATGTAATCTATACTTTATTCACTTGTACCCATTAATCTAGAATACGCTGTCTATCAGTTTATGCATACAAAGAACACTAATCTATTTTCAGTATATATTTGTATAGCAACTGTAACATCGTGGTCCATGTATTTTTTTTCTAAATACTAATTCTTTCCATTGCTTTTCATAAGATGATGGTTGGAGGTGGTCAACAGGAAACCCTGGCCCAGGGTTTCGCGCTATTTGGCACTCATCAGCAAGGTGTACCTGTAATCTTAAGGGAACTGGTACTCCCTAGACTAGTGGTCACATTGTAACTTAATCGATAGCATTCGATTTGCACTAACAACGATTTGACATACATGACATTGATCATCACCCAGTGATCAATCAATTGTGATTACACTTCAGCCCTACAGGAGGTCGGTCGCGGCCCGGATAGACTAGTGGTAACGTCTCTGACTGTGAAGCTGGGTGACAAGGGATCGAATCCGTCATGGAGCACCAGTTCCCTCAAGATTACAGGTACACCTTGCTGACGAATGCTACGTAGCACGAAACCCAGATCCAGGGTTTCCTGTTGACCACCTCCAACCACCATCTTATCTCAACATAATGCACACTGTGTCGAGACACCTAGACTAGTGGCCACATTGCAACTTGATCGATAGCATTCGATCTGCACCCAGCGATCAACCGATTGTGATTACTTTTCATATTATCAATAGGTTAGGAAGTATGCAACGAATTGATTCTCAGTATAGAGTTATGAAGATTGTTTAGTTTCAGTGAAATCATAAACTAATCAATGTAAGACGATCATTGAAAACCTGAAGATACTAGACAACTATTTCATTCAAGATCAGTAATCATCAACACTGTTAATCCATCACCTTTCATTCGGGGATCAAATCAAAGACCTTTCATCTCTCGCGAACACTTGATACATATATATAGAAACAATTTACCTCACGTATTTTGCACCATGACTTTTGTTATGATTATTTACATGTTCATTAATCGATGAAGATTCATTTGATGATGAATAATCTGAATGAGATTTAATTAAAGTTTCATTTGGATTAACTTTTTCATTGGATTGACTATTAGTATCAGTAATCTTGATAGACTAAAACATAGTAACATAGTATATTTTATTCAATATGTGTTGCTAAGTGAACAGTTATAACTATAATGTTATATCTAGAGCTTAAGATTCTTCCTATGCCGCGTACCACTAGACTATTTGAACGATTGACCCCGTAATGTCGCAATAGAGAAGACAGAAAACTAGTAAGTAGGAATGTTATTCCTCAAAACAGTGTCAAATATAGTACAAAAATCTCATGTATTTATAGTTTTTGGTTGAAAACAAATCATCATCACGGGCAGCCAATATGCACATAGGGGATCCTTTCTATTCACTTAATAGGGAACCTACACGTCGACATTCTGGAATGTTCCTCTAGCGTTGATTGAATGAAATGTCTTTGGCTCTTTCCTGGGCTTCTTGAGGCTTCATTGAGTTTGCCAACTAGCCATCCTTACTTACTTACTTACTTACTTACGCCTGTTACCCCTCGTCGAGGCCATCTTTACACATATGAATAATTGTTGGATTACAATAAGCTTAATAAATGTATTGTGGCGTAGAAACCATGTTATTTTTAAAATGATGATCTGTTTATAAGAATATTCGTCAATATTAGAACAAACAGTTGGACAAAAAATTGGGCACCGACTATAAAGAAGTCATCAGCGATTGAAATTTGAATAATTTCAACATTTTGTCCATCGAACCTGTCTGGACTTCTTCAGGATGATGATTTCGATTATTACCCTGAAGAAGCTCAGACAAGTTTGTTAGACGAAACGTTGGAATAATGTAAATTTCCATCATAGAGATTATTTCGAATATAATTTTCAAGTATAATGATAATCTGTTTATTCAAATGGTTTATCGAAAGTTCCCATGTAAAATTCAAGGAATTCTTATCTTCTTTACAGATTCATTGATCATAAAATCATATACTACTATTCTGTTTAATATCGGTATGAATTAGCTATTAGGACTGTTCCAAAGTAACTAAACAAACAAATAATTAAGGTAGGTTTGAACATCCCTTAGATTGAGTCCAGTCTACGCAAAATACTTTGAATGCGTTGGTTAGACACTATCAGCAATATTCTACTGTGGGAGAGAACAAATCAGATTCCATCCAGTGGAGGAAGAAATCAGGAAGAAGCGCTGGAAGTGGATAGGACACACGTTGAGGAAATCATCCAACCGCATCACAAAACAAGCCCTCATGTAGAGTCCTGAAGGCCAAAGGAAAAGAGGAAGACCAAAGAACACATTACGCCGAGAATTGGAGACAGACATGAGAAGAATTTACAAAAATTGGATAGAATTAGAAAGGAAGGTGTATGACATAGTGTGTTGGAGAATGTTGGTCGGCGGCCTATGCTCCATTGGGAGTTAACAGGCGTAAGAAGTAAGAGGAGTATACTATCTAATGGAAGTTTATAAATATTCAATAGATTATTCGAACTACCATTATTATTCAGTAGTATACTTGAAAACAGATAAAATTTCACGAACACCATTAGTTACATCACTTACCTGATTTAGCTTTGTACATATTTTATCATTCGTAATATTTCGTTTGTTCTTCTCTGTCAATTCTAAGTGGAAAAACATAATGAAGAGAATTTCTAATATCCGGTTCATGATCACCTACCTTCAAATGAACAATGGTCTGTATTATCTTGTACATCCGGATCAATTAATTCACCATATAAATAAATGTAGGCTTGTAATTGTTTTTGTAAATAATCACAGTTGGAACATTTATGACCGTTGGGATGAGGATGAGGAGGATGAGGATCGTCTTCTAAATCGTTCGACTCCTAATTAATGACAATAAGAATAACAATATAAATGGGACGAATCAGCTAAACTTTCTTTCGAAACCTGTAATGATGTTATCAAGACAAACGAAACTCAGAAATCTGTTTTTCACTCCTTTCATCAAAGATTTATTTCGGCCAAATAACCTTTGAGAAACAGGAAGCAATGGATAGGTATTGCATTCTAGTATGGGACTCCTCAGTAGAGTACACCAATGAGCCATGAGTTTGACTCTTAACGTAATTTAATTCCCAGAGGAATTTAAAAGTACATTATAAGCATTTGTTGTCCATTCAAGAAAATAAGCGAAAGCACAGTACAGATATTTCGTCCTGTTGAATATGTTTGTCAAATGACTTTGATGATAGTATAGTATTGTTTAACCTTCAGTCTGATGAATTATGAATCCAATGGTTAATATTCCAAAATTTAATCAATCCATCAACCCAAATATAACTTCAGTAGTCGAGATCATGAGTCAATGAAAGCTAGACCACTATGGAAGCACTGGACGGCAGTTTCGTCCTATTTTGGGACTCCTCAGCAATGTACATCCACGATCTCGCCTCACTAGATTCGAACCCAGGACCTATCAGCTTCAATTGACTCATGATCTCAACTGTTAAAATTACTATAATATCCACAAAAACCACTTCTTCTATCAACCAAATATAATTCATTATTCACTATAAACCTGTGGTGTGTGCTACTAGTGTTGACAGATATAAGTAGTATGTATCATCAACTGAAAATGAAATGCTTGGAGACAGAAGGTTAAGAAGATTGAAAAGAAGAGAACCAGAACAGAAAGTGAATAATGTGGAAACGAGGTAACAACAAAACGTCTGAGACAACTGATGAATATTTTTCAAATGAAGTATTTACTGTATGGTTCTCAGATTTTACTAAGAGATTCTGTAATTTCAACTCCACCTGTAGACCATCCAGGGCTACTGCCGGTCCCAAGACCGGACAAAAGAGGAGGGTTGTGCATTGGGTTACCAACCCCATCCCGTAGAAAACTAATTCGTTAAAAAACACTACCCATTATGTGATTTCGTATTGAAATACATTTAATTGTCCTCGCCTAATGTTCTCATTCACTACAAGAGTACATCGTGTTCGTTGCTAAAGAGTATCATACTTTGAAAAAACAAAATACTCAGGCTTCATAATTACTCAAAAGGATATCAATTCAAAATGTAATAATGATTGTTAAAAAAGACGCTATGATGATTTCGATTTTGATTATTAGCCTGAAGAAGTTCAGACAAGTTAGATGGACGAAACATTGAAATTAATTAAATACTGCAGAGGCTGTTTTGGACATAAATGGCTGCGCTAGGCAGAAAGCAGAACTGATAAATATTCAAGACTGCTCGTATGGTTTTCGTGTGTTACTGTTCCAATCGATAATTCACTGCTATCTGGTTGGCGGTCTTATTACGTCATACATTAAATGGGCATCCACTCGGCCACAAGTTAGTCGAATGAAATATTGTAATTATTTGAATTTTAATGTCTGAGGTTATTTCAAATATAATTATTCACATATAATGAATGTTTGTTAATCTCGTGAGGCGAGGTCGTGAATGCGCACTGCCACTGAGTAGTCCCATTATAAAACGAAACGGCCGTCCAGTGCTTCCAGGTTTTCCCTGATGGTCTAGCTTTAATTGACTCACGCTTTCAAATAATCTTTTTCTATTCTATACTTTTTAACTTACATTCGATCTTGTCTTGGACATGGTATATACAGTCAATTGTTCTCGTAAGTCCTATAAGTAGTGAATAATAATAATAATACGAAATATATTGATTATAAGTTAGTTAGTAATAAATGAATCTAACTTATACTAATGTAATGCTATTAATATCAATTATGTAATTAAAGATCTTGAGCTATGCATTTGGTGTATATCTGGAATTATGTAACAATGGCTAGTGTTACTAATTAGTTGTTTAAACTGAAATATGGATAGTAAGCAAAGATGGATAATGACTACCATTGGAATCGAAGATGTGCGTTTCGTCCTATTGAGGACTCGTCAGGTGAATGTACCTGCATCTGAGCAGATGTTCACTATGGGTAGCGAACCCAGTCAATGGGGTGGATAACACGATGGAGTTTGAAGTGAAGGGTACTGGGTTCGAGGCCTAGAGTGAACATCAAGTAATTCTGAGATGCAGGTACATCCAGTTGACGAGTCCCAAATGAGACGAAACGCGGATCAAGCTGGATTCCACTGCTAGCCACTATACATCTTTGCTTACAATGCTTATGAATGAAGACTATATCGAGGCAATACGCACAGTATGCACATATGCCAATTAGAGACTGACCAGTTGCAGTCCTAAACATCAATGGGAGGATTCAAACAAACAATACTAAGTGAACTGAAGTATGGATAGTTGGAATGAAGATGTTGACAATTTGAAAGTTGATTCCTTGAATTCTACCCCATTGCATAAAGAAGTGGTCATCAGGACTCAGTAGCTAAGTGGATAACGCGATAGCGTTTGAAGCGAAAGTTACTGGGTTCGAGTCCCAGAGTAAACATCAATTCTCAGATGCAGGTACATCTGGATGACGAGTCCCAAACAGGACGAATCGAGTATCCTGGATTCCACTGTTAGCCAACATTATATCAGCTTATAATATTCTATTATGGTTTAAAAATAGTTCAGCAATGGATAGAATTACTTCTATAATTGAACTTCCGTAGGAATAAAACCGTTTTTTGGAAGCTGTTGCCTAAGGGGTTTTATTTACACTATTTACATAGATTGAAAATATTTTACCAAAATCTTATTAGTTTTCGTTATAAATAACATACAACCATACGGATAATGAGACAGTCATTAACTACAACATTGGAAGACGATCTCGATATATCATGAATCCAAAAAATTTGAATATCTTAGTCCTGAATTCACACCTTGGACGAACATTGAGATAGGGATCGTTGAAATGTCCTTAAACTAGGTCGATTCATAATTGTGTCGTAGTTAACATATTGATATGTTAAACCAGTCAAGCGTATTAGTTCTGACCTACATAGGAATTCAGAGATGCGAACGAGCAAGATTTTATTAAACGTCCTGAAAAAGTAGATACATGCTATTGGTTGAATAATAGCTTCCTTTTCTGAAGGAAATAGACAGATATTTACTGGTGAATTGAACAGATATTTTCAACTCCACTTAACAAATTAAAGCCTTTCACTTACTCTAGGTATTTTTAAGCAAGCTGATTAGGCCTGTCATTAACGGAACATAGAATGGAATAAAGTATGTACCGTGCACTATTGCATTGGCGCGCGCTGATCAGCTAATTCTTAACCAATCAGCGCTAGTCAACACTTGGAGTACAGTCTAGAATCTTCTTATTTGAAAACTATAAATATACTAAAGCATTTCTTATTGCACCTCTTACTTCCGTCTACCCTTATTATTTGGAATATAACTTCGTTCCTATTCAACCATGTTATGATTTGGGGTCTTATCGAGTGAATTAGTGTCCAAGACTATTAAGCAATACGAATAGGTTGGTTGTAATAAGAGAAATTTATAACACCTATAAAATAAGAACTTTCTATATCAATAATTGAATTAGACTACTAACAGAACAAAACAATTATATTGTTCAAACTAACTATACTACTTATAAAACCCCCTTTTAAGTAAACTTCATTCACATTCGTCTTGCACAACAAAAAACAACAACCAAGTAAACAATCACATAATCACAATAAAATAAACAATCTTGATTCAAAGTATTTTTATATTGAATTCAGTATTTTCATAGGTAGGTCCTGAGTTGGAATCTCGCCAGGCGGGATTGTGGATGCGCACTGCCATTGAGGATTTTCATAGTTGAAATCATGAGTCAATTGAAGCTAGACCACTATGGAAAACCTGGAAGCACTTTTATGGGCTCCTTAGCTGACTCAGTGGTATATCGGTTAAGTGCTCTGGCACGCAACTAGTAGGTCCTGGGTTCAAATCTCGCGAGGCTGGATCGTGGATGCGCACTGCTACTGAGGAGTCCCACAATAGTACTACACGGCCGTCGAGTGCTTCCGGGTTTTATGATAGTAGTCTAGCTTCAATCGACTCATGAGTTCAACTATGAAAATAATAATAATAATATTAATAATAATGACAAATGATAAGAATAAACAAAACAATGAATTCACTATTGAACGTAGATACAAAGAGAGTAACTAATTAACAACACTGTAGTATCCATGTCAAAAGCTTACTTTTTAAATTGATTGATTGATAAATACCCCCTTCAGTAAAACAAAATATTTACAAATGATGTGAATAACTACATTATTATTATTGTTATTATTATTATTGTTAGTAGTAGTAGTAGTAGTAGTAGTAGTAGTGGTAGTAGTAGTAGTAGTAGTAGTAGTAGTAGTAGTAGTAGTAGAAGTAATAGTAGTAGTATCAGTAGTAGTAGTAGTGGTAGTAGTAGTAGTAGTATTGGTAGTGGTAGTGGTAGTAGTAGTAGTAGCAGTAGTAGTAGTAGTAGTAGTAGTAGTAGTAGTAGTAGTAGTAGTAGTAGTAGTAGTAGTAGGGGTAGTAGTAGTAGCAGTAGTAGTAGTAGTAGTAGTAGCAGTAGTAGTAGGAGTAGTAGTAGTAGTAGTAGCAGTAGTAGTAGTAGTAGTGGTAGTAGTAGTAGTAGTAGTAGTAGTAGTAGTAGTAGTAGTAGTAGTAGTAGTGGTAGCAGTAGTAGTAGTAGTAGCAGTAGTAGTAGTAGTAGTAGTAGTAGTAGTAGTAGTGGTAGTAGTAGTAGTAGTAGTAGTAGTAGTAGTAGCAGTAGTAGTAGTAGAAGTAGTAGTAGTAGTATCAGTAGTAGTAGTAGTGGTAGTAGTAGTAGTAGTAGTATTGGTAGTGGTAGTGGTAGTAGTAGTAGTAGTAGTAGAAGTAGTAGTAGTAGTAGTAGTAGTAGTAGTAGTAGCAGTAGTAGTAGTAGTAGTAGTAGTAGTAGTAGTAGCAGTAGTAGTAGTAGTAGTAGTAGTAGTAGTAGGAGTAGGAGTAGGAGTATTAGTAGTAGGGGTAGTAGTAGTAGCATTACTGCCAAGAATAATAATTTATTCCGTTCAATCAATATTTCTACATATGATATGTTATATGTCACGTGATGTAACTACCTGATAGGTCAATATATATGTTGATATGTGTATATGTATGTCCTTAGCCTGTATCTATGCATGTATATGTGTGTGTGAGTGTTACCTATGTTACACAATTCTTGATTAATTTTACTCAGATTACCTAGAAACTGTTTTTTATTGATTTGGTCAAACTGTTTTTTTATATTTATATGAAATTAAAGTGATGTAATGATATTTAATTTTGATTGAGATAAGGAATCAACCGATGTTAGACTACTATTGGAAAGCTGAAAGCACTGGATGGCCGTTTCATTCAAGCATAGAACTCCTCAATAGTGCGCATACACGATACCCCATGCGGGACTCGAACCCGGAAACTTTGGTCTTGTTCGAGAGCGCTTAACATCAAGACTGTTGAGCCGACATCCAATGGTGTTAATGACTAACTTTAACTATATCGTGAAATTGCGCGATCATCTTCCATTGTCTTTGGTTAGTAACTGCCTCACACCCGACGCCCATTAACTCAACTAGTCATGGCTTCTTACTAGAACTCAGAAAATTACTTCTCGAAGCTACTCACTAGTGAACATGTGATAATTTCAGTATAAGGTTATGGAGATTGTGGAGTTTTGATTGAGATCATGAATCGATCAATGTTAGACAACCATTGAAAACTTGGAAGTTTCACACTACGATGTTTTCAATTATAGCCTAATAATGATCGATTCATGATCTGGATCAAAAATCAACTATAATGTTTATTACATAATCATCATAATTACCATTATTCATCATTAACATTTTCTAATGATATACAATTGGATTATTTCATCATTATTATTTAAACATTCAACATCTATTCCAATTATAAACAACACTATCTAATAGGTATATTATAAACCAATCCCATGTAATAATCACTTGATCCAACTATCCAACTATAACAATAACATGATCATCCGTTTACAGACTAAACATATTTACCTATTTTTTTGAATATTTGGATGATACACACACATATATATATGTCAAATGATTAGTTTCTCTCTGTCTATTATAGGGTATTCTAATGTGGTGTTGGCTACTTATATCCATATAGATAGTATATGATGATGATCAGGCAGAAAATGTATTTTGGCAAAAGATCGATAAGGAAAGAACAGTAACGAAGCGCAATCGGTATGAAAGTGTATGGACAATGAAATCAGAGAAGACAGACTGATATTTACAGAAGGAACAGTGAAGTTTGAGACAATCGACTGATAGTTTGCGAATCAACTGTCTACTGTTTGGTTATCAGATTTCAGTGAGATATTCAATTGTTCACTACAATATTAGTAAGTAAATCGATCTTACTAAAAGTCAGTCACTATATAAATACCACATTGGTAACGTTACAAACAATGAAACTGATTAACATGGGTCTGAATCCTTCAGGAAACATTAATTCCTTCAAGATTGTAGGTATGTTTTGCCGACTATAGCTAACTAATATTTCAAGTAGGGTTTATTGATGACTACCTGTATGGTTATCAGATTTTAATGAGATAGACTGTAATTCGTGCTTCGATACATTCGACTGTCCCCACCCGTGTTCTTGTTCATTGTACTAAGTAACTTTTTGTTTTCTTTCAAACTAAAATGGTTGATATGCACAATTGGAGACAATTAATATCATGCTCTACAATTAGTAAGTGGATAAGGCATGAGTTAAGGAAATCATCAATGTGCATTACATGGCATGCCCTAACTTGGAACCCGGAAGGGAAGCGGAAAAGAGGAAGGCCAAAGAACACACTACGCCGGGAAATAGAAGCAGATATGAAAGGAAAGAACTGGAAAGGATTGCCCAGGACAGAGTTGGATGGAGAATGCTGGTGGGTGAACTATGCTCCTCCACGAGGGGTAACAGGCGTAAGTAAGTAAGTAAGTAAGTCTACAAGTAGTATTCACTCTAGTGATTAGCAAAATTTAACTGTAATTTAAAGAAAATTGATTTTATTTCAAAGGAATTGATCATGTATCATCTAATGTATGTATCCTAGTGCTGTATAAAGTCTATGATGAACTAAATAGATCAATAATTGCTAACTTTGACGAGAGATAATAGAGGTTCATATTTCAACTGGAATATCAATTCTGTTGAAGTTTCATGTGAACTCTTCTGATAAATGACATCTAGTACAAAACGTAACTTCAGAAACAACTATATATATCAATGTTTGAGATCAATTCCGTTATATCCCGAAGAGAATTATGAATGGTAACTTTTGAAGACTATTTATGGACCGATATCATTCATATTGGTGAAGTTATTATTAGTGTTCTGGACTTAACTGGCTGGGCTGGACGGAAAGCAGGACGAATAAGGACTCTAGACTGTGCTCGTACGGGTTTCGTGTGTAATTAGTCCAATCGATAATTCACTACACTCTAATTGACGGCCAGAAGGTATAACAAATGCAAATATCTTTCCCGATTGAATTATAACAATAAAGTCGTTGTTCATAGACGGTATTCCATTATTCCTTCAACCGGTCACCATACAAAAGTAAACTGTAAATTCACTTAGTATTGTTTGTTTGAATCTTCCCATTGATGTTTAGGACTGCAACTGGTCAGTCTCTAATTGGCATATGTGCATACCGTACGTATTGCCTCTATATAGCCTTAATTTACAAGCATTATAAGCAAAGATGGATAGTGGCTAGCAATGGACTCTAGGACGCGTGCCACTTCGTCCTATTTGGGACTCGTCAACTGGATGTACCTGCATCTCAGAGTTGATGTTCACTCTGGGACTTGAACCCAGTACCTTTCGCTTCAAACGCCATCGCGTAAACTGTGTTGAGACTCACAGAGAACTATTTACGTCCCTACAAAGTTCAACAAAGTCAAATGGTAAATCTCCTGTACCTGAGTAATTTTTGACTTCATAGCTAGAAAGCATAGTGACATTTTAACTAATTTGATTGATCATCTTAAATATGTATACACTTTTTAATAAAATTCCTTTTATACAGTAAATTAGCCTTTTGTATCAAATATCATTTAGATAATGAACCCATTAATGTTAGACCACCACTGAAAATATAGAAGCACTGGATGGTCGTCCTATCCCCGTATGAAACTCTTAAGTAGTGCCCATCTACGATCTCGCACGCTGAATTCAAACGTAAGACCTACGGTCTCACACTCAAACGCTTAACGTTTAAACTACGGAGCCGCTATCCAACATTGTTAATGTCTAACTTTAACCAATTCATGAAATCGCTCGATTATCTTCCACTGTCTTCGTTGGGTAACTGCCTCACACCCGACACGGATTAACTCCACTGGTTACTGATTCCTCATGAAATTCAATGAATTTCAATGGAACTCAACAATCTCCACAATCTTATGCTGAAATATATGACAAATATTTTGTGTTTAACTAAAAACGGATTGTTATTTCTAGCTAAGAATTACATCTACATAGTACAGTTACGAAGCACATTTTATGAAGTTTATTAAATTTTACTCTATTTGTCTATCAACTGATTACCATCACTTTGATTGATGGTAATGATGAGAAGAACTAAGAAATTTTCGTGAAGGTCACTTTTGAATTAACATAGAAGAGAGTTTCAACCACTTCTTATCTAAAATAGTTACCCGTCAATTACATTGGAAGACAGTTATGCAACAACACTAGTTGATTGAAATTACATATGTAAATTAATGTACATTGTATATAGTTAAAATCATGCGTCAATTGAAGCTAGATGACCATGAAAAACCTGGAAGCACTGGATAACCGTTTCGTTCTATTGTGGGACACCCCACAAGTGCGCATCCACTGACTGACTTGAAGAGATATTTCCTGAAGTTCTAGTAAGAAGCAGCAACCACTGGAGTTCAACCAGATCTGTTGGGAGATATCAAATCACTGAAGACAATGGTGAACGGTTTCTCAACTTCATGGATTGGTTACCAGTTGGCTCATTGGTCTAATGTTTAAGCGCTCTCCCGCAAGACTGATAGGTCCTGGATTCGAATCTCGTGAGGCGTAATCGTGGATGCACACTGCCACTGAGGAGTCCCACAGTAGGATGAAACGGCCGTCCAGTGCTTACAAGTTTTCCATGGTGGTCTAGCTTCAATTGACTCATGTTTTCAGCATATTCTTCAGTTGAAATTCAACTTACTTGAATTAATTTATCTAAAATTTGATTATCTTCTAGTAGTTTCTTCTCATTTTCTATTTTGATCAAAATTATTTGCTCTAAATGTTTGTTTGTTTTGATAAGATTCTCTTTTTCCAAATGAAACTTTTCTTGATCTGTTTTCATAGACTATAGTAGAGAAAGAAGGTAGAAAGGCAACAGAGTCATTTATTAACAGTGTATGATCAGAAGTGAATACGTTTCAATGCATATTGTCATATATACAAACAAGTGGAATCCAGTTGGACATAACAGCGGAGGAATTGAATATGTTGAGAAGTATAGAATGGAAAATAATAATGTCAGATCTACTGAATATTTAAACATAAAAGTCATAAGTAAAGATGGAAAGTGGCTAGTAGGGGAATTTAGGACGCGCGCCTATTTGTGACTCGTCAGTTGGATGTACCTGCATCTCAGAGTTGATGTTCATCCTGGGACTTGAACCCAGTACCTTTTGCTTCAAACGCCATCGCGTGGTCCACTCAGCTACTGAGTCCTGATAGCCACTTTCTTGTGCAATGGGATGAAATTTGAATTCACTCAATATTGTTTGTTTGAATCTTCCTATTGATGTTTATGAGACTGACCAGTTGCAGTCCTAAACATCAATGGGAAGATTCAAACAAACAATACTAAGTCAATAAAAGTCACAGTTCAGAATGACATAACTAAGAACAATAAACAAGAGTTGAACAAATAACACTAAACTTAAGACTTACAGAATGAATGAATGTATACGGACTATTGTGACTGGTTTGCTCTATGATGTCTAGCATCCTCAATCACAGAATACAACTAGTAATTTTCATTTGTTGTGCTGACATGTTGTGATATTTCCTTATGACTGACTGACTGATCATGCCTATCTACTGCTTCTGTGACCAGCAACAGAATCCAGAAAACGCATTTCTTCCTATTCAAGATTCTTCAGCTAAGTGTACTTACATCCTTGAGTTGGTGATCACTCCTGAACTCTAACCCAGTACCGTTCGCTTCAAACATTTTTTGCTTTATCCACTTAGCCATTGAGTTCAGGTAGCTACCCCCTTGTGTAATGGATACTTATAAATGTACAAAGTTTAGCTTATCTACCATTGACAACATTTGATCTGTCAAAATCAAATCACATATGGTATTGTGTTTACGTGTTCACTGTTATTAAAATACCTAATGTGACATGATCAACTTAGACACCTACATAATTATCCAGTCGCACACACACACACACAAAACGTATGCTATTCAGATACTATAACCGAATCAATCCATTTTAAAGATCTAATTTATTTACATTATTGTTCTGCTTTCTATTATATCACACATAGTCATACCCATGTAACTATGAGTATACACTGTTACATTCATTATCAAAAGGAAAAAAATATACTTAGATAATAAGCATAGATGGATAGTGGCTAGCAGTGGAATCTACGACGCGTGTTTCGTCCTATTTGGGACTCATCATCTGGATGTACCTGCATCTCAGGGACTCGAACCCAGTCCGTTTCGTTTCAAACGCCATTGCGTTATTTACTCGGCCACTGAGTCCTGATCATTGAATAGGCGCCTAAATGGTTTCTAACATTTGCTTAATATAAAAGTTAATGTAAAGGACTAGCTTAACCATATGTTTACTAGTGATTAATTTAGCGAGATAATTCCTATATTTCAAATGAAAAGCTGTGACCAGTAGTATTGTGAAGTAGTTACCCACTAGTGACACCGAGAGATGGATGAACAATATCATGAACTAAAATTAGACATATAAGACATTGGACGTCGATTTAGAGATCTGAAGATGAAGAACACACTGAGAGGTCTATAGTTCAGGGCTTAGTCTTGGTAGCGAGATTGTGGATGTACATTGTTCAGATGTGTAGCGACCTGATTTTTTCGACGAGAACGCGATTGGTAAAATGGAAACAATTATTATTATAACCAATTGTATCAGTAATTGTTTTACTGTACTCGTTGTTGTTTAACTGTATCAAAATCATTTTTCGTTCCGTCGACCGCCTTGTTCATTCGAACTTTCTTGAGCTCTGACTTTTTGCCTGTACTTGTTGGCATGTCTCGGTATTCTTTCAATACCACGAGGTCGCCAATAAATATACTTTATCTGGACTAATTACAGCCTTCTGGTTTACAAGCTATCAAAGGAACCAAGTCGTTTTCGGGCACGTAATCTTATTGTAGTGGTGATCATAGTCAATTGAGACTCGACGCCATCTAAAGATGTCTTATACTTGGACAAAACAACTGTCCAGTAAGATCTTGATTTTCAAAAGTCTTTCTTCGATGTTTCATTCTAGTCTGGGACTGTGCATAGGGTGACTTTTCAAAAAAACTACTATATATTTTAACAAATGATTTTGATATCATTTAACTCATGGTGTATCGGGACTCTTGAATCATTATCATTTTGATTATTGTACGGAAACTCAATCAACAAGAAACTAGATGATTACATTTTGTGATAGCTAGCATTTTTTTAAATATAACACATCTTGGATCTTATGGGAATGGACGTTATTTGAATAGTTCAAACTTATGTTATCCAGGGTTATTAGTCTTGAGTGCTGTTACAGGCGTGAGGGCAGTTATCACTTCCCGGTTGCCCACACCGTGGAAGGGTTCTTCTAGAGGTACCTAAAAAGGAAATTGGGTTAGAAGTGGTCCTAATAACTTGATAGCGTGACTGCAGTGCCCAAGGGACAGCTGCTTGCGGTCGGTCACACACGACCTTTTTGTGGATAGTTTTTGTGTTAGCTCCGTACTTGTTGAGACCTTATCTCCGGAGACGGATATCCGTGGGATAAGACGAGGTGTGCATTTTTAGGGTAGACCTCTTCTAACCCTACCCCTCCTTGTGGGAAGGTAGCATCGCTGTCATGCTGGTTGTCTGAAGGAAACACCTTACTGCTGTCACACCTCTGCACAGTCGGCAGTACGACTTCGCCTTCGGACCTTGGGTTTGCTGCTTTTAGTCTCACCACTCTTCAACCGACCTGCCTGGCATAGTAGAACCTTGAGGAACGATTTTTCCAGGCAGTATAGCTCGATTGTTTCATCACGACCGGCAAGCACGACCACCATGTCAAGGTAGAAGCAAAGGTCGGGTCCAGGGTTATAGTGAGAGTTGTTATAACTGATCCGTTCAAATTACACCTGGAGTGACGTAATTAATATAGTTCATTGAATACGAAGAATTGAAGAACGTGACACTGACATATACGAAGCTCCTAGTTTTTATAAGTATTGTATTCTGTTAGTTGAATGGATTAGTCGTGAAACATTCACTGACTCACTAGACAAAACCATCAATACATACATCAGAAAGTAATAAGCTATTAAACGTTTTCTACAACCTGATCAACAGTTTAATCTGTTGACTTAGAATTAAATTAGTTGTTGTCCATAACTGTGTTATTGTTGTTTGAATCCTTATTTAAACTGTCTTCCAGCTAACCTGAGTTCTGACTTTGTAATTGTTTGTCATTTTTCTTACAAGGTGACAGACTGGTTCAGATCAAAGGAGAAGATAAAAGTGTACATGACAACAACAAAATTATTCATAACGACTAACCAAACTCCACGTCAACAGAACAAACTGTTAGTACTCATTCAAACGTCGACTTCAGACCAAGTCCAGAACCTTACGGTCTCATTACCAGGGCTTAATCTCTGAGTCACTAGGGTGGCATCCAGTAGTGTAAAATGTATAATTTCAATTAATTTGCAATGATTCGCTACTAACTTTGATTGCATACGGTAAATAATTGTCTCATACTCAACATGACTGAACTTTACTGGTCACGACTTTTTATTAGAACTCCTGGAAATACACCTGTTAGTTAGTCACTAGTAGAGACATAATTATTATTTGTGTAATTAGTTTATAGAAATAGTTGAATTGTCATTATGATCTACAGACTAGGCATTTATTCTTGAAGCTGAAGGCTCTGTGTTTGATCTCCGGTGCGACCATGATAGTACAGTGTTAAGGAGTTCCATAATAAGACAAAAAACATCTGTCCAGTGTTAAATCTTGTGCAAATGTTATTTTCCTATTTTATGGTACGCTGTGGTCAGTTTGTTTGGTATATAAACCCTGTATGTTTGAGAATAATGATTCACACTGCAGAGGCTGTTATTGGTGTTCTGGACTTAACTGTCTGGGCTAGGTAGATAGCAGGACCGCGTAGTGCTCATGACTGCTCATGCGGATTTGTGTATCATTGCTCTGATCAATAATTCACTGCTCTCTGATTGGCGGGAACTAGTACGTTCACGTCCATATATATAAAACAGGGCACGCACGTAACTCAATCGATATTATAGTTCCAAAACTTTCCTCTTCAAACTTTATTTATCTATCTGAAACAAACAATGTCTAATGACGTTATTAACTCTAACGGAATCTTCGCTACATTATGATACATAATTTTGGGGTGAAATATAAGCCCAGATGTCGTTTGCAATTTTGACCTTTTGGCAAGCAACTAACCAAAATGAAACGAGAATTATGATTTACAATAACGTGAAGTTCTCCGCGACAAAACACCACTCCATAATGCTACGGACGTGTCAAGTGTAGTTCAGACAATCATGGTAGAAGAAAAAGTACAACATAGGAAAAGTTATGCCTTCATTCAATTCTATAATAGAAATTACTCCGTAATATCTACGATTGAGTAACTAAACAAATGAAAACATAACTGTATTTGCTAACTGAGATACACTTAAATGAATTGGCAATGTAAAGTTTATCCCTAACCAATATCTATGATAACTATTACTATGGAGTTGTAGAGATTATTCAATTTTGATTAAGATCATGAATCGATCAATATTAAACTACCATTAATGATCTGAAAACACTGGATGACCATTTCGTCCTAAGGAGTCCCATACAAGAAAGAAATAGCCCTTCAGTTCTATGATAATCTTAATTTTAAAATATTATGTAGATTGTAGATTGATGAAAAAACTTAGTACTTGGCACAAGGGGGCACCAGATATATATGCGCCGCAACAAAAATTGTCATTTCATTTAATTGTGTGAGGGCTATGATACTACTCAGGTGCCCAAACTGAAGCAGGTGGTTTTCTTAGGGGGCCACACCCGGAGCCTTTGACCTGAATGTCTGATCCACAAGGCAGTGGAGCATCATAAGGAGATGTAGTCCCATGGTAACCGGTGATCAACGATTGATTCATACGCCATTTGTTTCCTCAGGATACTGAAGCCCATGTACATCATTGGTTTGAAATCAGGGTTTTCCAACTTCCCTAGATAGACGTTCCGTGTCCACCAACCCGGTTAAAGCATAGGACATTCGCTTTTCGTTTTCTCAATTTCGTAAACAACACCTCATTCACGAGAAGGCAGTGAGTAGGACTTCTCTAACAGAGGCTATATACGCGTGGCCGTGTGAGAGCATTTCGAGAGAGAGAAAGAGAGGGTGGGCGCTCCACGCTCTCAGCCGTACCAGGGCATTTGGGGACTTATTCTGAATTAATCAATTAAATAAATAACTCATTAACTTACTTGTATTAAATTATTTAAGATCATATTATCTGATTTCAATTGTTCATTCATCTCTTCTTTCTTATTCAATTCCATTTTAATCTCCTTCAATATCGTATTCAATTTCTTTAATTCATTCAATATGAGATTTCAAAACAAAAAAAACAACTTTAACATGGAGATAAATTTATGAATAAGAATGAAATTACCTTCAATGAGTAACTACCTAGCAACTGATACAGATTGGAATCTATTGGTCAAAGTTTCTTATTAGGTACTTCAAGAATTACCTCACAAAGTTAGTTACTAATGCGCATATGATGAATGAAACTCAATTCAATTTATTTAATACAAGATAAATTGTTCATGGTATCATGCTATCTAATATGATAGTGTCACGTTCACCTTTAAAGTTGGGGTATGATTATTAGTGGAATAATATATGTTGACATTTTTGATCAATATCAATTTCTTTCAGGAATATAGATCATATGATTATTAGTGACTATCTTTAAGATGTGACTCTTAGAGTTTTAATAAAATGCTATTGTAGTGATATAAGTGGATATAAGTGACCCACACTACACTCGTTCCCCCATTAAAGCATTCGTTCTTGTGGTGG